CGACCCGCTTCTACACCGGTGGCCCCGGTTTCAACCCTCGTGCTCCTGCTGAGGCAGACTGGCCAATATAATTGCTGATTTGCTCAGCGCCGAGACACGTAGCATTTGCCTGGTAGTTATCCAAGGCCGTTGTCTTGTCTGACAGCGCGTACAGATGCGGCGTCGTCAACCGTGCGCGGGTTTCAAACGCTAGGAGGCATGTTGGATACGCAAACTTGGACCATATTTTCCTCTTGTGTGGCTAGCGCTCAGGGTCCAACAAACATTTGTGCCCCCGGAAGATAGTCACGAGCTGTCCAAAATCGACCACGGTGTGATTTTCAACCGACTTGCCAGCATGTCTGCCAAGTGACAACAACTCCTGCCCGAGTCTGGCCAAAACCCACACGGTACCGCTCAACGCAGGCGGACACAGTGCGCAGACAGGTAGCTGGCACGCAGCCACGCCATGCCGTGACAGCTGTTGCAAAGAAATGACATGGCGCGTGGCTTATGCAGCAAATGACCGCAGGCAGGGAAGTAGATGTGGATCTTCCCGAAACCCTTTCGCCGAAGACGCAGCCGGAAGGGCAACTGGGTATCACGAGGGAGGACGCCAACCGAGAGATCAACATCAACTCAATCACGAAAACAGCAGCCACGAGCAGCTCCAGCTGCTGGCACTCATCAAAACACATGTATACGATGCCGAATTTGCAGCACCTTGCTGAAAGGATAAGACAAAGATCTCGAGAACGACCCGCCAAATGCCACCCGTAATTGCAATGTGCTCATTTGCTCTTTGGCTCGCGGTAAAATAGAAATCCTCTGCCACGCAGCAAAGGCCTGGCCAGGTTGGCGTGAATACCTGTGCCAGAGCTGCACACAAGAGCCTGAACTTGCCTGTCCGCATGTTTCAACGAGACTGAGCAAAAATGCCATAGCAACCCCCAGAGGCAAGCGAACCAAGATGACTGTTTGCTCATGAACGGGCCCCCTCAAGTGTCTTCAAGGTCATTTCAGCACGCGGCAGCACAGGTCGCGCTGCAAAGCCAGAACGTGAGTTGTCCCTTTGCACTTGGAGTTTATCACTGCAGCCATTTTGGCAAACACGACCACTGAAGCAAGCTAATTCCACCAACGAGGGAGTGCTAGGCTGTGGCGATTGTTGACAAGTGGAACTCATGGCTGAGCAAGCACTTGCAGTGCCAGGAGCTGCGAGCACTTTTGGCAGAAGAAGCGCTGAGTGCTTTGGGCTGAAATGTGCTGAAATGTGCTTTACTAGCAGCGAAACTCACAGCACTGTGAGGACTGTGCCAGCTTCCAGATCAAACTGAATCATTTCAGATCTTGTTTGTTCCTCACGTTTACCAGGACGAAAAGAGCACAGGGAGATACAGCACAGTTCCTGAAAGCGAGGCACCATTCCGTTGCTGGTGTTCGCCAACAAGCAGGACTTGCTGCAGGCCAGGGCTTTCAGGTGGCATTTGGGCGTAGGTTGCTTGAGGGGACATCTTTTTTAGGGGGGTTGTGTTGAGGGGAAAGCCAAACAAAAATCCAGTTTGGGACTTTGCCTGTTTAAGACAAATCCATTTGGCTGTTGAAGTACTCACCAAGTCATAGTCCGGCCGCATGCTCCGCTGCTGTCACATCGGCTGATCCGTGCTTTGCGAAGCTCTTGGGCTGCCTGCATTTGCGCGCCCAAAAGTGACTGGCCTTCAGGCATCGCCTGCCGAAGAAGTTGCAGAAGCCCTGTCCCTATCGTCCATCTCCGACCGCATTTGGAACATCCAGGCCAGGGACCGAGACCCATTTGGAGGCCTTTAGAACAAAAGCGGCAGTGTGGTGATGGCGACAAGGGCACAAGTTCCTAGGCATGTGCGCGTTCAAGGAACCACAATGCTGTTGTCGGGCCGGGTGGCTCAACCTTCCTACACATTATGTTTGCCATTGTTTCATCATGTTGCACTAGACTGTTTGGTGCATGTCGATCAAGGAAACTTCTACTCCTCTACACCTTTGAGGTGATTCTGCAAACAGAATCTCCAGGAAGTATGCTTGCCCACAAGGAAGCCTAGCTGCTACCCAGAGGGCCTGCAAACCCTTTGAATTCAGCATTTCGTGTGCCAGGCGTGCAGCGCCAAGGAGGGTTCCGGCTTGGAAGACGGCCACTCGCTTAGCAGAACACTGCCAAGTTGCGTTTTGGGACTGGGGTGACTTCAAAGGGCACAGGAATCCGATGCTGTTTGAGGCATGGCTTGGCTGATCAACATCATCAACGAAAGGAGCTGAGAGTCTTAGAGTTGGCTGCCATACTTTAGAGAGAGGACCTGGCACGATGGTTTTCCTGGTGTCCGATGCAGATCCAAACATAGGCCTTGCCATCACTGCACGGATGTGTGTTTATCTTCGCAGGTTGCTTTTTGGGGTTGTTTGAAAAGAACAGCAAGAGAATGCCACTAGTTTTGGGACATCCACTTGCAACCAAACCCACATTTTGTTGGTACATGGCTGTACGGCATTTCACGGAAATTCAGAGTGCCAAGTCCTCAGCTGCTGAACTGGCGTGTGGCCAGTGTGGAGTGGATGGACAAACCTCCCACCTACTGGTGCTGGATTTTGTCCATCGGGGAGCCCAAGTTTGGATGGTTTTAGAATGGTTTTAGAAGGAAACCAGGAGGAAACCACCAGTAGCTAGTTCTTAGAAACGCTCATTTACTGCCCGCAGCCCAGGATTGCCGTCTCAGCCATGTTTTTCTTGCTCTCCGCAGTTGGATGTCACGCGCACAGCCGGCTGTTTGGAGGCTTTGCATGCTGAGGCAGGCACAGCAGAGCTGTGCCGCACGTGCTGTTGTACCAAGCGCTTGCTAGGATTTGCTAGGCCGCCTAGGCTGTATACAGAGCTCCTCAAGTGCGTGAAAAGCGAACCGGCTTTGGGATGGCCAGCATGGGTACGATGGAACCAGTACAGGCAACAGCCACAGGATGCCGCTATTACGCTGATATTTTGCAGCGCACTTCCCACATGACCGTTTGACATTTTCTGCGAAGTGCTTCTTAACGACCTGTAGGGTTCAATCACCATGTTGCCCTAGAAAGTGCATTGATGCCAGATGGCGATTGCGAAGGGGACTACCTCAAAGACTCAGAGCCTCTTGAACATGGCAAGCCAACCAAGTCTCTCGGTCGAAGGGGTTTCCAGTGGATCAACTTTGGCGAGCGTATCAACAGGCCTTAGGGAGGACTACCGGGAATTGGCGAGTCGCTTCACAGTTTTGGCTGGGCTAGACCATGGCTTTGACAGAGGAAAAAGCGTTTGTGATGATCACGGCCGGAGGATGGAACCAACTTAGAACCAGCTGATTCGGGGCGAGTTAGAGGCTGCGTTCGTTGCCCATGAGGTCAGGCCCACCTGCCGACCTAGACGGGAATGCCCATGACCGAAGCAAACTCAGCTCTTCCCATCAATTCGCGAAATGAGCCCACAAGCAACAGAAAAAATAGAATGCCGAAAAAGGCAAGGTAAACGTCAAACACATACGTAAATCAGAGACGCTGACACATCCACGGTGCACTGCTAAAGCATTACTACTAAGAAGCAAAGTGCCCAGCCTCAGCATTCCGTGGTAGTTCTTTGTCTTGTTCAGCCTTTTGGGAAGCATCCCAGCTTTGTGCAACACAGGTCGCTACCCTGCCACTACTGCCGCTTCACATGGAACCCGGAAGGAGCCCCTTCGCAAGGAGAGAAACCTCTGCTGCCTTGCCCCGGAGCCCATGCGTGGAGTGTATTCCTTCCCCGCGCAAGCTGAGGCCGCCAGCTTCCGCGGGCAGCCGGTGCTGGTGACGGGCCTCGGGGGGTCGGAGCCAACGGTCGATGTGCAGGAGGCGGGGGGGAAAGGGAGAGAGACGAATGACTTGAATTGGGAGGACAGTTGTTCGACAATCACATGAGCCTTTTTAAGCAGTGTTAATTTTTGAGTTTCGCTACCGCATGTTCCATGATATGGCCGAGTCATGTTGCAATGTTCATGCTTCAGAGGTGTTTAGTCCATGTCTTTCACGGAGCGCTGTTCATGATATGTTCTATGTTCATTTTACACTTTGAATGTGTCATGGTACTTTGAGTGTGCAATTTTCATGTTTCTGTCGTGTGCCGCCTTCGGGCACGGATGTTTTCCATGGCAAAAAGGTCTTTTTTGAACCTCCCGGTCAAAAAGGGAGCGCCAATAGTACCCTGTATGGCCTGCTCGAAGGGTGGCCCGGGTCAAGAACAGCAGGTTGAATACCGGCTGCAACCCATAGATCAACGGCAGGATGGTGCAGTCTGAATACTGTCGGCCAATAATCATTGGTATCAACCCGCGAGAGTTGTGGGCAGCATTCCCTCACAACCTGCTACTCAAATGTTTTAGCTGGTTGGCCGAAACTTTAGGCAAATGATAAACCTTAATGCGTACACAGCTAAGCAGGGCGTGCCATGCAAGCATGTCCTGATTGTTTGTTGATTCAGGATCCCAAACATTGCACGTGGAAGATTGCATGCTGGGCTGCTGTACTGTCCCTGGGGCTGCCCGGAACAATGCAAACCACCCGTGCCCCCCAAAGATCGCTTGGTAAGCCAGGCTAAGGCAAAACAAGGCCAACTGAGGCCAAGAAATTTGTAGTTTGGTTTTAGGGCGAATTTCTATGATATTAAGGGAACCCTGTGAAGTGATAAAAGCAGTATACAATGGGGACGGTGGTCGGCCTGTGTCGATATCACATACAAGTGATTTACCACATTGCTTGTTTTGGCCGTCAGCTTGCACAGACGCAGGTGGTGCAGGTCAGCAATGGCCGCAATGAGGACGGCCAGCGGCGCCATGTGAGCGCTGTACTGGCGCAGTATCTCGCTGAGCCTCGAGAGCTGCCCTTGGAGAAGGTGGGCCGAGTGCGTCTTTTCTTGGGGGGAGCCCCTTTTGGCGAGGTGCTAAAGGGGCGCCAAGAGGAAACAAACCATTTGTTGGGGCCCCTAATTTGAGACTCCCTCACCCCTGGTTGTTCAGAAGCACCCCTTTTCCCTTTTTGGCAGGGGAAGTGTTCGGGAAACTAGGCTTGCAGTTGCCCAAATCTGCTCTGAGAGGCGATCCCCTGATGAATGACTGGGGGATTTTAATTAGGGGTCGACAAAGTGCCAATTTGCGTGGGGAATTCGGTTCAACACAAAAAAAAACTTAAGGGTAAGGCAGCTTGATGCGCATGCTGAAAGGGGTTTGGGGTCATCTAAGCAGAAATGAGTCTTGGCCGCCAAGAGGAAAGGGCTTGAACTGCTTTCCGGGAAAAACTTAACTATGAAACCGCCTCTTCTGTACGAGCAAAATGCGTTGTGTTGGAGCCCAAATTCTGCTCGTATTTTGGCAGATTGGGCTTGCGTTTGCGACAATTGCGAGTTTTCACAAAGAAAGCAGTGATCTGCAACAAATCCTGCATGGGCACATTTTTTAGGGTTTTGGCCACACGCTACATAATACGGAGCAGAACGTGTTTTTCTTGGTAGGCGTTTCTCAGAGGCCCCAGGTTCCCCGTGAACCAACTCCGAACAAGCTCCGAACGAACAAACTCCGAACGAACTCCGAACAAGCTCCGAACGAACTCCGAACGAACTCCGAACGAACTCCGAACAAACTCCGAACGAACTCCGAACGAACTCCGAACGAACTCCGAACGAACTCCGAACGAACTCCGGAACTCCGAACGAACTCCGGACAAACTCCGGACGAACTCCGAACAAACTCCGAACGAACTCCGGGCGAACTCGGAACAAACTCCGAACAAGCGAACAAGCTCCGAGCGAACTTTGGCATTGTTCCCGAGCCAACTCCGAACACACTTTGGCCATAAGAATGTTTTTGAGCCCAGGTATTTTGGTGGCCAAGCTGTTTTTTTTGCTTTTTCGGGCTTACCAAAAGAGGCCAAGTGATTACAGGGGCCAGTTTCAACAAGTGGCCTGGGAAGGTGTTTTTTGAGGCAAACAAACATGTTCTCAGGCCACTTGTTGAAGTTAGTTCTTTTGGTCACTTGATTTTCCTGTTATGTATGTTTCGGGCTGGATTTACTTCCCGGACAAGCGCCAAACAAACTTTGGCCATATTTTTCTTTGGGGGAGCTGATTTTGGTGTGTCGGCCTTAAGTTTCAGTTTTTTCGGCTTTGTTTTGTTTTATTGCTCTTTTTTTTTCTGGCTGTGATTTTTTGCTTATTGTTTTTTTCGGGGCTTAATTCTTGCCCCGGACGAACTCCGAACGAACTCCGAACGAACTTTGGCCTTAAGTTTTTTTTTGGAGCTTTTGTTTTATTCGGTGTTGAACTTTTTGGGTTTTGGTCGTACAAAAACACTGGAATTACAGCTTGTTGATGCGTTTTTCGTACAAATTTAGTGTTACTAGGGCAAAAAAAACATTGACACATGCTTAATCCAGGCTTTTCATGCAAGAAAACAGCTATTTCATACGACCAAAATCGGGCAAGCCATTACACAAATCGGGCAAACCCTTAAGTTCAACACCGGTGTTGAACTTAAGCTCTTTTTTTTTGAATAATATTTTTTCCCGGATTAAGCCTTGATCAAAAGGATTAAGCTTTGTTTCAGCTTCAACAGCGAGCCTCAGCGTCAACCAAGCTGCGTGATCACCCCGGTAGCGATTTTAGCCCTCCGCAGCTCTGAAGTCCTACAAATCCGGCCCTGAACTCCTTCCCAGGCCACTTGTTGAAACTGGCCCCTGTAATCACTTGGCCTCTTTTGGTAAGCCAGAGAAAAGGCAACAAAAACAGTTTGACCGCCAAAATACTTAAGCTCAAAAACATGCTTATGGCCAAAGTGTATTCGGAGTTGGCTCGGGGGTTTGTTCGGAAATCAACCAATGACAAAGCTTGCTCGGAGCTTGTTCGCTTGTTCGGAGTTTGTTCCGAGCTCGCCCGGAGTTCGTTCGGAGTTCGTTCGGAGTTTGTCCGGAGTTTGCTCGGAGTTTGTTCGGAGTTCATTCGGAGTTCGTTCGGAGTTCGGAGTTCGCTTGGAGTTTGTTCGGAGTTGGTTCACGAGGAACCTGGGGCCTCTGAGAAACGCCTACCAAGAAAAACACGTTCTGCTCCGTATTATGTAGTGTGTGGCCAGAACCCAAAAAATGTGCCCATGCAGGATTTGTTGCAGATCGCTGCTTTCTTTGTAAAAACTCGCAATTGCCGCAAACGCAAGCCCAATCTGCCAAAATACGAGCAGAATTTGGGCTCCAACACAACGCATTTTGCTGCGGACAGAAGAGGCAAGTTATTCCCGAAAACAGTTCAAGCCCTTTCCTCTTGGCGGCCAAGAGTCATTTCTGTTTGGATGACCCCAAACCCCTTTCAGCAGGAGCGTCAAGCTGTCTTACCCCTAAGGCTTAGCGCGCAGAAACGGCGCGGTCCCCTGGGAAGCAAGCAAATTGATTCTTGATTCGAGGAAACTGGCATCAATAGTACACTTTGAGATTTGCTTCAAAATCTGGGCTTTTCTTTTTTTGGTTTTGGCAAACCCTTAAGTTTGAGTAAAAAACCCTTATTCTTTTTTAGCACCTTAAAACACCCAAATCCCGAACGAACTGACCTGACCCATGAAATTTGGCACGACAAAGCATCTCATGAGACAGCGTTATTGTTTCTCCGATGGTAGCCCATGGAGTCAAGGTGCCAAAAGGCCTCCATCTCTAATTGGGCAAGCTAATGCCAGATGGTGTGAAGCTTTGGGGCTTGAAACGGGAGGATGAGTGCAACTGCAAGTTCGGGTCTATTGAGGCCTTCTACAAGCTTCGAAATCGAACAAGGGGTAAAAAAGGCAGTCAAATAGATTGTCACGTTGCCCATTTGCATTCTCGCCTAGATGTTTTCATGTACGTCCCACGCAAATGTACGGTTTCCACATGCTGCGTGCAGCTATAGCGATGGACATTGCATCCACCGGGCGCATTTGCGCAGGATGGCCGAACATCCCTGCCAACGGTCTTTTTGTCGGACCTGCTGAGCGGGCTTCAGCGCAAGCTATGGCAGAACCTGCAGCTACCGCAGCTGGTCGACGGTTCCCTGCTTACTATCCCCCCATCGCCAGACAGATTCCAACAGTCTCACCGTGCACTGCTGAGATGCGTGCAGCAAGAGAGCAAAGCCAGCGCTATGGGGAGCATGCATTGAACTTGTGGCCTTGCGATGTCAGTGTCCAACCAAAATATTGGCAATTGCCATGGCTTCAGGCAATACCTGAGTCATTCAAACAGTTCGGCCTGTTTGGTCTGCTTCAGTTTGTTTTTGGCAGAATTTAGCGGGCTGCTGGACCCAAGTGTCTCCAGGCAAAGGTGTAAGATGCCGGCACTGCAAGAGAGGAAGGGACAGTCCCCACACCTGTGATCTAAGGCTTTACAGCCAGGCCGATTCTGTCAATCGGCGTGAACAGCTCCGGCCACTTGGCAGTGTTGATATGCATCACAAGCCTAAACTACGCCCTGCCTCTGCAGAGCGTCGGAGCGCGCGACGGAATCAACAAATGCACAATTATCTTGGAGGTGTCGTCCAAACACGCGCAAGACACAGATTGTCGTCATGCCAGCTGTCCATGTTCTTCTTACTTCTCCAGACTTGAACATGCTTGCCACGACTCAGTTGCCCAAAGAGGATATGTTAGTTGTCCTTTTTGGTCTCTCAGCATCAGAAGTTCGGATGTTAGAATGTGGCTTGCTGGTTGAGGCGAGGACTTCCACGCACACCAGGAGACATGGCTTTGGCTGCTACTGGGCGCTGCCTGGCAGCGCAATTGGGCGGGCGCACGTGCGGGGGGCTCGCACGACCTGTACCAAACTACCAAGCTGGCAAGTTCCGAAGCAATCCGCAAGCACTTCCCAAATCGTTCTGAAGGTATTGGCCAAATTTGTTGTATAGTTCTTTCCCACAAAGGATTGTGGAGTAACCCCGGCACGCCTGGGAACCAAATGCCGACACAGGCAGGCAAATCAAGTCGGTACTGCGGTCACTCGCCAGAAAATACATGGCTGAAGCCCACCTTTCAGTTGGTGCCCGAATCCGAGGTGAAGGCCTGGTGGTTCGGCGATGCCAAGAACCTTTCAAAGCTGAGGCCATGGGGTCGAGGGAGTTGAGGTGAGCTAGGATTGATCAACCCTGATTGATGAATTGAGGGAAGCCTCCTCAGCTACGAGGATATTCTTCACTTTTGGCGGAAGTGCCCCTCCTGTTTATCCGCCTTTATGAAACTGGGGGTCACAGTATCCATTGACCCTATCTCCGAAGATTTTCAGAGTCTTGGAGATGTGATTGAATCATTGCAACGAGCCGTAGTGGTGCTTGAGGTGAAAAGCCTTGTCAAATCACCGAAATCCTGGAGACTGATTGCGTGGCTCATGGTGGCAAGTCTTAGCGTTTTGCGTTCCAAGAGCGGCTTGCAAGTATGGGTATTGGTTCGCTTTGACCGGCCAATGCACGCGCCTTTGCTTTCTTGTCGCTGCGCAGGAATTTGGATCCCTGCACACTGCCCTCCAAGATGAGTGGCCTCCGGTTCTGTGTGCAGCACCCTGGGGAAGCAATTTTCTTTGGGAACCAGGCGGGCTAAGTCTGCACCGCTTCGATTGAGACCTCCCCAGAACTCGGCCGATTGCTTCGTCGGCTCAGAAGAAGCAGTCCCGCAGGCCCCATTTTTTTTTTAGTGTTGGTCTAAATGCTTGCCCTCTATCCAGTTCTTGGCAAGTGAGCCCTGACATTTGAGGCGGATTTTGGTGCGGCGACGTTTTCAAGCATCAGTTGCCCGCTGCCAGGCTCATGCCACCTGCAATCTGGAGAAGTTTGTGCCCCTTGGAGAAGATGGTGCAAAGATGGGGCCTCATGGCCTCATGTGTCTAAACATTCCGGGCACTCCAACAAAATGGGAGGTGTCCTTTTATTGCCCTTTCAAGGAACCCCCGTAGGAACCCTCAAAAATGATATTCCCGTGTCTAGTGACGAGAATAGAACACCTAGTGTTGTGCCAAGTCCTCATCCTTTTGAAATGTAGTGTGGACACAGCCTGTTGCAACCTTGGTCGCCAGTTTGGCGGTAGCTTGGGGTGATTGATTTCCCTAGCAAGCGCCAGAATCCGACTAGAATGACAGAGGTATCAATCAGCAAGAACAACTTTTGCACTCGCGATGGCGACCCGTGTTACAAGCTGTTTCTTGTGCGGAGAACTCCTTTGCCAGAAGGCGCATTGAATTTTCCTGCGCTGGGTCTGAGTGGAGCGGGCATGCACTCGTTGGGCGCATGTGTCCAGCTCGACAAATCAGCTGTTTGTAGAATGCATGGGCATATATAAATGCAAGCACATGTTTGTTAAACATATATATATATATATGTTTATTAGTTTATTTATTTATTTATTTAGTTATTTATTTATGTATTTGTCAGTTAAGTGTAGGTAGACGAACAGTTGCCAGTCGGACCGGGTAAAACAAAAGGCTCAGTTTCGGCATGTGGGTGAGAATGCAGGGAGCGTGTAAGTGAATACAGCACTTTCGCCAAAGGGCAATCAGGCGTGAAACACATTGTTGTACCCCTACTTTGCCGGACCAGAACAAGGAAACACATAGCAGATAGCGCTTGTGGCTGTTCAGCCTAGAGGCAGATGCAGCCCAGCTGTGGGCAATACTAGCTTTCGATGGAAGGTGTGATGGGTGCCCAAAAGTCATATGTACGTCTATCAGGCCATTGTGAGTGGGGTGGCATTCTGTGTCGCATGTAGTGACTGCATGTGAACAGTCCGTTTCAGCAAGCTTTTTACCCCCAGGATGTTGTCCTCAGATTGCGGGCTTCAGTGTAGCATGAATTGCCAGCAAAGATTGTACTGTGCCTTTCTGCGTTTGAATCTTGCAAGGTTCCCAAAACCGACCTGAAAAGTTCGCAGTGTTGGTTTACTCGTGGCCGCAGGTTTCAGAAAACCAACCTGTCATCATTACTTGTCCGTTGGGCAAGTGGAAGCTCATTGGCTGTAACAGGCCAGCCAGCGACGCCTGAGGCTGGGCGTGGGTGCCCAGGGGCGCGACGAGAGCTGGCCCATGCTGCTGCGCCAGCTCCGGCGTGGCAAGGTGCCAGAGCTGAAATCAACGTGCCCTGGCTCGCTCAGTGGAGGGATGGTTGGTTGCTTGGTTGTTTGGTTGGTTGGTAGGTTGGTAGGTTGGTTAGAAACGTACAATTGTTTGTGGTGTGGGAGTCGGTTTTCTGCAATACCAACAGAACCCGCCTGAAAGTGAGACGGAGTCATAGCCTCAACCCACTTTGGCATCACAGAAAGCATTGTTTCCCAACTTTCTGTGGCAGATGCTCATCAATGCAGACGTGTTGTTTCCTCGTGTTGGTCCGGTTGCGAAGGGGAGATGCACCGACTGCACGGGGGCGGGGGGGGGCAGTGTGATGGCAGATGGTTGGGTGCTTCACCAATGCATGTGGTTTGCTGGCGCTGTGTTTTTTTTTCCGCTTGGCTGACAGCTGAAAGAGAGTCATGTGACCGGACTGTCCACTCACGTCGCTCAGATGTTTTGCATGAGACAGGTTGGCTTCTACTGATGGCTAGCAGCAACTGGGCTGTTGGCGGGGACTTCAGGTCCCACTCCTATAGGAGCCTTGTAGCCAGGGCCTATCTCGGACAGGTATGGGAGGGTTATGCGGGACCTGTAAGGAGTACTCTAGGTTTATCTGCTTGGGGGAGCCCGACCCCTTGAAACAAAACCCTCGAAATTACGTTCAATTTATGGCAAGCCAATTTCCCCGTAGGGATCCGAGAAATCCTTGTTTTGGGAACCCGCCCTCTCCTTTGAGCTGGGCGGGGGCCCCTTCACTGAGGGAGGCCAACGCAGTGCGACCTGGCGGCCGCAGCGCGCTGCACGAGGCGGCAGTGTTTGGGCACCAGGAGGCCGTGCGGCGGCTACTGGCTGCGCGGGCCTCCCCGCTGGCAGCCGATGGTTGCTCGGCATGGACTATTTGCCCTTTCCCAACTCTGCATCAACAATATTGTCCTTAGGCTTGGCAGGATGGCCCCCTCAACGGTCCCACATGAGGTAATTTGCCAGATCTGCGGCATATGCAGATTTTGGCAGGCAATTATGTTTCGGGCACCCCAGAGCCCAAGCAAGCGGATGTTTTCTAAACGGAGAGCATAGAACACCCTCACAAATGCCTTTGTACATGAAGCCAGTCTACATGTCAGCCAAAGGGTCCACCAAAGATTCATCAGTTGCAACCCTTTTCCAACCGAGCCTTGAGTTCGAGAGATCAGCTTCAGGTGAAGGCTTGCGGGCCGCTCACGTGGCTGCCCTGCATGGCCATGTGCCGTTGCTGTCGATGCTGCCCGGAACCCCTGGGTTGCTGCAGCACGGAGCCATGTGCGGACCTCAGGTGATATGAGTCTTTTGGCACAAGTCATCAAGCGGTTCCATGGCGCAGGATGAAGTTAAGCAGTGCAGATGGGGCCGGAGCACCGTCAAGTACACAGTTGCTTGCAGGTGAGCAAAACAAACACAAACTAGCCTTAGTTATACGCGTCAAGCCATACCAACACTAAACACAACGATAACTTAAAGGCTGTTCAAAGGGGGTGAACTTGGCCAACTCTGACCGGCCGCTTTCACGATTGAGGGCCCCCAACCCGCTTGCCTTGGGTTCGGGCATAATGACTGCGCAAGTGTGCATGTGGTTGTGCTGGCCACGCGCAGCTGTTTCTTCCTGGTCCTCAGTGGGCTTTGCTTTAGTTGCTGCTGTGCAGAGGGGTTTGCTCTTGACCCAACAGCCGAACTGGACAAGATCTCACTCCCTGAGTTGATGGACTTCAAACATTTTGCAAAGACCATTTCATAAATTTTAGTTGTAAAAAGAAGTTCAGGTGTTTTTTTGACGAATCCACTCAGGAAGCGAGAGATCGTGTCCTGCAGGGCCCGACAACTGCGTACCCTGAGGCAAGGGCACGTCGAAGTGATGGACGCCTTGTTGCAGCAAGATCCGCAGCAGCTTAGCAGCACTACTAGACAGGCGGGACGCTTTTTTCAGAATGTCTCAGATATGCTTGTTTCTTTTGTTGCGGGCCCTTTTTAAGGAGTTCCCTGCGCTTCAAAAAGCACCCAGACGGACAACCCCAAATAGAGACGGCCAAAAGGAGCCGCTCCGAAAGGACACCCCCAAATTGGGCACCATCAGAACTTAGAATATTGCCGGCAAAATCAGGATCCGCCCCTCCCGGCCTTGTTTGGCGTCGGCGTGTTTGGGAGGCGCCTGCACGAGCGCAGCGGGGCCGGGGCGACAGCGCTGCACGCCGCTGCAAAGGGCGGACACTTGGAGGCGGTGCATCACCGGGAGCCACGGAGGATGCTCAGAGGTGGTTGCCCTGTGCAAAATTATTGCGGGGAATTCAGTTTAAGGGGAGGGGCTCCTGTGCTGTGAGGGTGACATTCCCTTATTGATTTATTTGCCAGGCTTGTTAATGCCGGCTCGGATCTTTGCGTCCTTTTAAATCCGGTTCGTACCTGGAATGGGTCAGAACGATTTCATGTAGATTGGCTGCCCTTTGTATGCATAGTTAGCTTCTGCAACCCCCACGGCTTCTGTGTGCCTTCATGCAATGAGGCATGTATTTGGCACTTTTGGCATATTTCCTCCTCACAAATGGGCTTTGCAACCTCACCCTTACTCATGAGGATGTTTTCCGACCGGGAGGTTGCAATGGCAAATCTCATGACACTGGCTGGCGGCTGCCTCGACCCCTTGTGGCATATGCATGTCACCGCCCGCGATTGACAAGTATTGGCCCCCCCTGCCCCTGAGCGCGTATTCGTGGAGTAGGCCACAGACTTCCTATTGGGGCGCCGCGCTGGGCTGGAGGAAACTTCCCAGGCCACGCGGGGGGGAGGGGGGGTGGCTGGAGATTCGAACACCAAGCGAAACCATGGTTGTGTGGTTTGGCTTTCTCCAAGAACCCGGGACAACCTCCTGCAAACTGATGTTCGGATGAGAAAGTTTGGCGCATAAATAGGCACGGGCCAGACCGCCCTATTCAGGGTATTTGGTGATGTGGATCTGCTTCATGCCATCACAGCCCAAAGCAGGGATTTCCTTTTTGACTCCTTGTTCCAAGAAAAAGGCCCCCTTGTGAGGTTTCCACACTCATGGGCCTGAGGTCGGTTCTAACAGCTTTTGCAGACCTTTGCTAAGGATCCACTAAACCAGAAGAACCGCGTACTGAATTGGCGGGCTTTTGGCGATGCTCAAATGTTCTAGAGGTTGATCCCAACATTGTTGTCACCCCATTGTTGAGAAGCAACAGCCAAACCTGGTGCTTCTGAAAAGCAGGCTCCCTGAAAAACATGCCAACAGCCCAAATGCGTAGTCAGAAAGATCCCCTTTTCAAAATGGGACAACTCCCCATTCATTTGACAAGTTTCTTTAAGAGCCTGGAGCCGTGATTCTACACGTGGAACTCATGGAGCTAAAACACCCCTGAATCTTTAAGAAAGAAACTCCTTTTGTGAGTGCATCCCTTGTTGCATTCCCATGCTTCATGTGCAGGGCTTTGTCTACTTGATGGAATGGGGAAGCTGCTAAACATCGGGGAGACTAAAATGGCATGTCCCCACCCTTTTGCAGTTGGACGGGCGTGCTATCCGGCCACATTGTTACAAATTGTACAAAGGTCATTCCCATATTCCCCCCCACTTGTTCAGTACTCCCTTATATAGCTGAATGTTCTCTCGAGTTAGGGAAGCCAAGCCACCAAGAGATCAACAAGTTGAGCTCGGTTCAATTTGAGACAAAGGGTCCCTCATTTTTGGGATGAGTCCTTTTGGATCCCTGAGAGAGTACGCGCCATTCCCGTGTTTCTTTTGGGATCGATCAGCCGGGTCTCAGGACGGCCTCACGGCTCTGCACTTTGCCGCTTCAGCAGGGCATTTGCCGACCGTACGCCGGCTGTTGAAGCGGGGCGCCCAAGGCGCCCAGGCGGGATTTTGGCCTGTCCTAAACCCTAAGCCCACCTTGAGCCCATGTTTTTTGCATATGACGTAAAGTTATGTATGATTGTTGGGCAGATCTCCACCCTACACCAAGTTGCAGTTGTGCTGGTCGTTGAAGGAGAAGCGTTTGCTCGTTGTCGTAGTGTTAGCAGATCAACATGTTGCAGCATGCCATTGAAGCTGACCTGATGGATTTGTTCGAGGGATGATTCGCAGGTCGTTGTGCATGTTCAGCGCGGTTCTGGATGCACGCTTCTCATGCAAGCTACCCCATCATTGAATCATTGCTGGTTGAGGCCCATCGATTTCCGAAAGGACACTTAGCAAGTTGACGACGCCAACAAGCCAATCTTTTGTATGTGTTCACCTGGCCTTGTGAGATTTTGCAAGGCAACAAACGGGGGTCTTTTGCCCATCCACCTGGCGGTGAAGAGCGGAAGCTGGCTGCTGGTGAAGGAGTTGATTGACAAGGCCATGCCCAAGGACAGCGCAGTCGGATCCAGAGTTCTTGATCAGGCCATGCCCGAAGGTGGCGATCCAAAAATTCCCGCCCGTTAGCGCCAGGTTATGGCTAGGCAAATTTGCAAGGAGCTCACCCATGATGAAGGAAGGTACTTAGCTGTAAATTGCATCTTCCTGATAATATATTGGTTTGAGGGGCTCTCACACTGAGCTGGCACTGGGGTTCAGCGGCCTGCTGGGATCAAGCAGTCCTTGGCTAACTTTAGCAGGGTCTCCACTTATAATCAGGATACGTTTGGGTGAGCTGTTTTTTTCTTCTATAAACGCACTTCTACATGCTGACTTAGAGGATCCCCTGGCAACCGGTAAAGCAGGTGGTTCTTGGAATCATTCGGGCACCCCTGGTCAGGACTTAGCGCACCTTGCCGCGGAGGGTGGCCGACTTCGGGTTCTGGAAGGGTTGCTGGCAGAAAGGCCTGAGACGGCAGCAGCTGCGGACGACCAAGGCCGGATGCCGGATGACGGTTCGATCTGCTGTGCAACGCAGGCGTGGCGGCTTTGACCCACGTAACCTCTCTTTATTTATTACCCTCTTTAGCTGGATCTTTGTGGCTAGACATGTTAGGCGGAAAATAATGGAAGCCTTTTGTTGTCTTACATCTTGTCTTTTTTTAGACTCGTTTGATACTATGGATGCTCCATTACAACCATGGAGTGGCAATTGCGTATGACGTATAGCAAGCTGTTTCTTTTTGATTACGGCTAGTGCTATTTCATGGTGGACATGGGCCATGGATCCAGCTTTGCACGGTGCCAGCCTTTTTTTTCCGGCAATATGAGTTGGAATATGGAAAGCATAGTTTAGCTGTATTTCGGCCCCAAACAGTTGCTGCGCGAAGGATCCGGTCTCCAAATCAGCTAGCAAGGTTTGAAAAGGAGGCGCCATGGCAGCGAGATGTCTGTTTTAGAGAGCGCGCAAGACTTGAAATTGTCAGCTGCAGCACTTTGAAGGCTACTCGGTGCATTTTGGGCAGTGACAGTCACCAAAGGCATTCCAACTCTTAGCCTCCAAGACGCACTTCTAGAAACCTGCGGGAATCAAAAAATGTCGACGGACATCCACAAATGCCAAAGAAGTTTAGACAATCTAAAGACTAAAAGCAAGTCTGAACAAGTGCCAACTGTTGAAGAATTAGGGAGGGCCAGAAGTCACAAACGACAGCTGGCTGGCCTGGAAACTTGAGGAGCCTTACAAAGCTAAATGGGGCCAAACCCCCTCTCAAAGAGACTCAACGTAATGAAGCGGTTCCGTGGATCGGTCCAAGCGCCCAGCCAAAAGGATTTGCAAGCTTCTTTTGCAAGCCCAGAGCTAGCAGCTCTCCTGGCAGCTGGGTCCCAAGCTGGTCTCCGAATCGAAACCTCCGACGGTCGCAACCTTTGCTTTATTTGTAGTTGTTTCAGACATTGGGGGAAGCAAGGTGCTTAGTTCCTTGCCTTTCAATGGGTGGTGTCAGCGGCAAATGGTACCGTATGGTACCGTTGAGATGTGGCTGTGGCATACCTGCTCGTATGCTTGCAGTTTGCTGGACAACCGTCCGCACAAGAGAGGTGCGAGTGGAACGATTGCTGGCTGCTGTGGCATGGGCTAGGGCTGGCAGGTTTTCCCCAATGGAGGGCCAAGGCTTCCACAGTGATCGACATGTGATCTGCCATGCCGATGCAGCACCTATTCATATACCTGGTCCTCCCTGCCTTCCCACAAGGTCTCCTATCCCCTTGGCCAGTTTCAATCATCACGTTTCGGTCAACAGGCAGCAGGCACCAAGCCCAAAACCCCTGGTCCAGGCTTCCAGCCGCTCCACCGCGCCGCCTTAGCGGGCCACCTTGGGGCCCTGGAGCTTCTGAAGGCGCCGACATCCGGAAGGAAGTGCAAACCGGTGGCCTGTCCAGGGCAAAGCGCAAATGATAGTGAGCTCTCCTGCGGGTAGAATGAGCTCAGCTTGGTCCCCATGATGAAGGTTCCTGTTTCAGGGGAATATCTTATTTCCACTGTTTGTGAGTTAGAAGTAAGTTGCATAGGGCTTTCATCAGAGCCCCAGGCTTGGGTGGCCAACAGCTCAAGTGTACGTCCTCCAAGATGGCCTCCTTCTCGTTTGGTTCTTGCCACATGCCAATCAAAGTGTTGGCTTGAGGGCCATTTCTATCGTTTCTTCCTGCTAGCTACGGACAGAGATGGAGACCTTTCAGCGACTACTCGTCAAGCATAGGGCATGTTGTTGTGCCTTCGGAGCATGCCCTGCTGAAAACTTCGAAGGGGGAGATTTCCGAAGATGTAAACCAGACTCGACACAGACACGCACAGACTACGCAGACACAAGCACAGACAGAAACCAAGACACACAGATAGCCACACACACACACAGAGAAACACACCCACCCAGGTATGCAAGCTCGCAAGCTCGCTTGCCCGCCCGCACGCACACAAACGCACATTCACATATCAGATATATACAAATATATATATATATATATATTTATAGCGATACCTCGATCTGCCTTAGGTGCTGCCCTTTGGTGCTTCCGGCGGCTATGTTTGCCTCTGGGCAATTTTGGTGCTTTCCGTTTTCTACGGGAAATCCATAACTTAAAAAGGCGATTGTTCCCGACCAAAAGGCGACTTTTCCCGACCGATTTGCAGACTTGTTTGCCAAAACTGCCAACGGCATTTCCTACGCGAAATGTCTTAAATATGTGCTTTTTCAGCAAGAAGCATAAATTAACATACGTGGAGGATGCAGGTGAACATACATATATATATATATTTTATATATATATATATATTACATATATATATATATATATATTATATATATATATACATGTCAGATAATATGCGCGCACACGCTCACGCACGGGGAGAAAAAAAACAGACACAGACACAGACACCCACACCCACACCCACGCAGACACGCAGCTCCTCACCCGCATGCGTGCACATACGCACGCCCACTCACCCGCCCGCCCGCCTGCCCGCCCTCCCGCCCGCCCGCCCACCCACACACCGACCCACCCACCCATCCGCACATGCACACACACACAAGCAGGCACCCTTGCCGTCCAATGTCAACTGCGGAAGTCAGGGCATTGAGCATTAAGTCTTTTCTAGGTAGGGGCCTCTCTAGACTTCAGAGGTGCCCATTTCCTCTCCCGACCGGCACGGCTTCACGGCGCTGCACTTTGCCGTCAAGGGCGGGCATGCAGCTGTGGTGCAGCAGCTGATCCGGCGCAGGGCAGAGGTCGGCGCCAAGTCGAAGGCCAGGAACATTCGGCTTCCTTGGGTTCGCCTTTAAAATCAGCCAAGCCAAAGCCGGGGGCGGTTTTCTCCCCAAGAAAAAGATCGAAGTTTGTTGGTGACAGGAGAGTGAGACACTTAATGATCGCAGCCCAGCTGTTCAGTGGCATTACTATTCTATATTTGTTGTTTTCCTAGGTCCATTCTCCGGTCAAAACGGGCCACCAAAGAAGACTTCGCTTAGTGTGTCGCTGGGGCGTATGCTTGAGGTTTCTACCATACCTCACCCCTGACGAAAGCCGCCCGTGGTTAGGCGAGGTTTGAAACAAGTGAACCTTTTCCATGTCCTTGGTGCAAGTGAGATAGCGCAAGCGACGTACTAGAGGTGCGGACAAGCACACACAGGGAATGGAGGAAATCTTCCACTATGCATCATTAGCTCAACGCGTTCTGATGCTTTGCCCATGCTCCCTTCTTGATATGTTTTGCCTTGTTCGTTTCTGTTTATTTTTAGTGGCAGGCTGCAACAATGACGGTTTTGTTTGGTGGCATATCTTGGAAAGCATAGCATGCCTCCACTTTGCAACTCCGCAGGATGGCACCTCGCCGCAGGAGGTGGCGCGAAAGCTGGGTCAGCGCCACCTACTGTCCTTGTTGACTCGGACTGGCAAGGGCAAGCCGGAGCTGTGAAAATGGGCGCAGGGTGTGCGAACATCCAAACGGTTTTCAACCAAGCGGGTGAACCATCGAACGGGTTTTCCCCAGTCAGCTGAAGCTATGGGGTGTGTGTGTAAGAAGAAGTCGTTCAGAGCGGCCTTGGGGGAGAGTAGCTTCCGGGGGTGACACCTGGGCTTGCGCTTTGTTAGATTGATCATGAGATGCCCGTTTCCATCGGAGCTCTTTTGGGGTGGGCGTTTCCACTGCATCCAGACGACCAGGTCAGGCTGAAACCCACACGCCAGGCCGTTGAGAACTCTGGAGGCTGAAGGTCCGGTCAGAGAGATCCCCGGGCTTGCTGACAAGGCGGGGGCACATTCGAGGTGCATGTCCAAGCTTCCGCACATCCATTCCGCTCAACGGGGCCTCAACCACACATGGGTGTGCCCCAAGACAAGACAACCCTGCAATTTGGCTTCTCTCCTTTTGCTTTCCCTCTAATAAATGCTGACATAAACCCCAGGATGCAAAAAGGGCAGTCACTGCGCAGACATCAGCCAGGGTGCCTTCTCAAGTGGCTGCTGGACATAAACCTTCATGACGATGCCTACCAAAGGGCCCCAATCCAATTCTACCCGCGTGGCCGACCTCGGCAAGGTGCGGTCTTACTTGGAGGACCTGCCGCTGGAGGGTCGGCCTCGACCGCTGGCCAAGCTGGGTCAGCTCGGCAGCAAACCAGCGGAATGGAAATTGCGGTAGTGCGAATTGCAACATAGGCTTATCCTGAATCTGGACGCCCTAAAGTGAGCATTTGTCTTGGGGGGCGTCTCAGAATCACTGGATTGTGTGACCTTCAGCTGAAGGGGTATTTCAGGTCTAACTCAGGACCCCGAGTTGGGTCCACGGGTTATAGAACGGACTCCCGAAGGAAGCCGCCCATGTTTGGGAGGCTCGGGTCTCCGATCTGAAGCTACTTGGATGTTGTCCAAACTCCGAAAGGGTGAGCCAAGACCCTCAGACCCACGGAGCAAACCCGGAGGAAACCTGGGATTCCATGTGCAAGCATTACACCGCCTTCTGCAATGCTCAGAACGCCCGCTCACTGAGACAACCCACAGCTGATGGAGCTTATGGAAGAAGCCCAGCTCACGTCCAAGGAGAAGCTGGCATGGAAACTCGGCAATGTGATTGCAAAGATTACTTAGTTTGGATCATCATTGGCGGTTCAGGATGCAGATCCCGGATTAAGGCGGGGCGTCCCAACTTAAGGGGATATCCTTTCCTTGTGGCTGGGAACGCACCTATCAACCCAGTTGTTTATCAATCCGAAGACGGCTCTATAGAGGCTTGTCGCAAGGATGTTCTGCTTCCACAGCCCTTCTGGGGGAGAGGGCTGCAAGACTAGAAAGCAGCACGCAACACTGTGCGAATCGGACGGAATGATAGCAACGCATGCGAAGTGATGATTTGCCATGCTGCAACGTCTCTGATTTTATTCATTTGGGAACGACACAGAATCGGCTTGATCAAGTTCTCAACATTCACGTGGAACGTCTTGCAAGGGGAGATGTCTCAATCGCTTTGATCTGCAAGCATGGGCTATACGAACGATTGCCGCTGAGGTTTCGCTCTTGTGCAGATTTTGAGCTTCTAGACGACGCCTTCGCGCGGGCGGTCTATGTGAGCCTAAGTGCCTGTGAGCCTCCGGGTGGCTCAGACTGACTAGTGATTGCAATCCTGGCTTTCATTGCCCAAAGCGAATCGAACGTTGGACCCTTTGTATTCCTATGTTAGTCTTGATGGTTCCCTGGGCAAGTGGGTGGTGCCAGACTTTGTCCGGGTGTCACATTTTTTCCGACCGGCCCGGCCACATTTGAAGAGTTACGACACGCACAATGGAGCTCCAAGCCGGATGCTCTTGGTGCCAAAGAGATATCAATTGGCCGCGAAAAGTGTCTAGCTTCGGGGAGCTCCACAGCGCCAGTGGCCACTTGGAATACGGGTTTGCCCGAAAATTTGGGTGCCCAAAATGGCTGGTTTCCTTTCGGCAGTCTCCCAAAAAAAGCACCCAAGTGGCGAGGTCACATAAATTGTCCAATTGCGGCAATATGGGCGTAAGCAAGCAAGTAAGTAAGTGCTGTTCTCCTTTCACGCTGTACACAACCCTTCGGCTGTTGCCCGCCAGTCATGTGGGCGGGTTCAACGCCTGGTGTGTTTCAAAAGCTCAGTTGTGACCACAGATTCCCATTTTTAGTTCATTGTTAGCCAAGGTGCCGGCGTTGAGCCTTTTGTTGCAGGTGTTTTCAGCAAAGGAGGAAAAGTTGGAGAGCTTAGCTGCCCTTAGGCAGCGGCATATGCACCTGACCATGGAGGGTGGGCCTGGCTCCTAGCATGGCGTTTCCGGGCACGAGGCCCTCCCCCATGTGGGTTGCCGTTGCAATGTGGAATTCATAGTGCCTCAATGTCTCGCAAAGACTTCATCGAAACACCGCTTTGGCCGCGATTGTTTGTAGCCTAAATGCGTTGCCCCGGGCCTGGAGTGGTCAAGGTGGCACCTTTGATTGCCGGGACGGGTTCAGTCAGCCCAGGCCGCTGACCATCGGGCGAGCACATCAGGCAGATGACTTTGAGAAGCTGATTCCTGTCAGGGCCTTGGCCGCAAGGAATGCCACCAGCACCGTCCCATGCCTGACAAAATCACAAACGTAGGGGCGAGGGCAGCTGCTGACTTGAGTTGGAGATGCATCGACATCCGTGGGCCCAAGTGTACTTTAGTGCGGTGCTTCATGGTGGTAAATAAATGGGGTAGCCCAGCAAAATGATTTCCTCGGAAGCTTAGCTGAATAATTCCCGCCCTTCAGGTAGGGGAGGTGCATCCGGTCTGTCCATTGTACAATGGACGTTCTTAGTCTTTTCAGGGACCTTTCACGACGATCCAGCCATTATCCATTAACCCCTTCCCCTATTACTGTTATAAGGTCTTTTACCAGAACCAATCCAATCATTTTAATCCATGAGCAGCAACCAATTAGCACGTGAATCGCCAATTGTGACCCGCTCATTTCCTTCGAATTTCCTCAAATGCGTGCTAAGTGTACCTATTCATTGGTTGGGTGTAGCGACTGTTACACTGTTACAGACGCCAGGACGAGGCACTGCGCAGCTGCCTCTCCCGGAACCACTTCACCATGTCCTTCGATGGCCGAGGGTCTGGGCCACGGCCGTGTCCGGAGGCCAGCGTGATGGTTGAAACTTCGGCAGAAACGGGGCCCGAGAACTTGTGGCGATTCGCAGCGCCTAAATTACTGTACACGTCGTTGTACACCAGTTTGTTTTTTAAGGAGAAACAGGCCACAATAGGCCATCCTCTCTCAAAGGGTGTTTTGCAAACATTACACAGTATAGACGTGTACAGGGTTTGGACGTGGCCTACTAGGCCCCATGTTGAACCCCAAGCCAGTCACGTATGTTGTTTGTTTGGCCCCAAGAACGCAAGCGGCTCATGTTTTCTTCATTTTGCGGCAACATGTTGTTTTGTTTCGGAAACTTCGCTACCTGAAACAGAAGAGGCCCCTGACGCGCAAAGCCGGACATGAAGCAAGCACTGGCCTGATCACCTGGCCGACTGTCGCAAGGCCCATGCTGTCGCCAACGAGTCACAAGAACAGTAACACAAACCAAGGCATTGAAATCGATCAACCACCTCTATTGGCACAGTTGCATGCCGGTTGTTGTGGGGCATGCTGTTTGACAATTGGCGTGGGGGAAAAAACAACGGGAGGCATCGGAGAGACATCGCAGCACGGTCAACGGCGCTCTTGTGTTGTCCAATCTGGCGCCTTTACCTGGAAATCTGACTGGCACGGGTCGCACGTTGCTTCTCCAAGGTTCATCTTGAAGCGGCTCTCCGCCAATGCCATGTTCTTGGCCGCCGGCTTGGTGCCGGCGATTGGCCATGGGCAGATGACAGAAACACGGGTCGCTGTTTTGTTCGCTTCTCTGTTGGTTTGAACGTTTGAGCCCACTTTTAAAGTTTGGCCGCGCGAACATTTAAGGAACCACAACACATGCCAAGCCGCTGCTCTTGCTAGGCCATTGTCCAAAGTGTTTGTGGCCGTTCACTCCGCTTTCTGTCTGAGGACGAGGCGATGATTCCACAGCAGCAGGACTGGGCACACGGCAGCGGCTTTTCCATTTTTCGCATGCATTGTGATGTGCAGATGTCGCGCTATGGTCCTTTGTCCAAAGCTGTGTGTGTGTGTGCCCTGCATGCCCGCTTCAAGTTTGTTGTTTGTATCATGTATCTATGACGGAAGCCTGCCTGCCACCCTTTCTGTGAAAGAAAGACCTTGCGCCTGGTAGCCGAAGGATGTTCCTTTGCGAAGTGGTGCTCTCATCGGCCTTAGCAGCGAGGCACGTTCTCCCCTGACTTGTAAGAGTCCGTTGACTGTTGAGGGCTGAATGTAGGTTGGCAATACGGTGAGGCCAAGAACGGCTTCTGCAAAGAAGATTGGGTGCGTGACTGACCCTTTCCGGCACAGGCAAACGGCAAGTCCTCCTTCCTTGCCGGGCTCTTATCAGGTCTCATGGAGGCACGCGTGCACAGCCATAGCTTGGGAATGTGCAAGATGATTTGAGCAACTGGCAGCGGGCTGCGATATGGCGTTGTAGCGAGCCTTCCCGTCCAAATCCTCACGTGCCTGCAGGGAACACTGCATTTTCTTAGGTCTTTCGCTTCCTGCCGAAGGGCCAGGACGGAAGAGGGCCACATACTGTGGATAGGCAAAGTCGGCACCGCCTAAGAATCCTTGGAATTATGAACTCCCCAACAAACAAAGGTTTATCGAGGTCTTGAAGTGGTGCAGTATCGCGCCCATCCACAGTACCTGCCGCATTGAGTTTCTGAGGGTTCCCAAGGCAGAGACGCGTGGCGTCAGTTGAATGGTTTGGGAACTCGCAGGGGCATCGGAAGGGGGCGCCACAACACCAAGTGAAGTCACGGCAGGCGGCGACTTCTCTTTTTGCTTGAGCCAAACATGCAAAGGCGCTGGCAGGCCAGCTAGGCCATCTAGACACTTTGGGACCGCTGAATTGCTGCAGGCCAGTACTTGGGCGGTGGGAAAGATCCTGCCGTGATGGCCATCCATCTCCACTTCCGAAAGATAATTGCCCCGTGTTGGCACCTCGACTCGCACAGGAGTCGCCAAATACCGAGGCGTCGCGTCCTGAGATGCTGTGGGTTGGACATACAGGTTCGGATTTGCCATGTGTCGTGGCAAGCCGCAGGGTGCCGCCATGTCTTTTTCTGGAGTTGGGACACCCTGTCGGGAAAAAACCATCAAACATATGGAGCAACTGCCACGCGGCACCAGCATTACTGTAAGCAAGGCTACCTGAACGTCACATGCTCAAGCACAAGTTTGCTCAGGGTCGCTATATTTAATAAAGGATAGGCAGTTTTAGGCAGAGATTGTACGGGTTCCGAGCAAGTGAGCCATTGGCTCATGCCGAATTGCGACGGTTTAATGCTGGACACTGTCAGTTCTAAAGGTTGAGGGCTGAGCCGCTCGCTTTTGCTCTCCTTTCAGGTTTTGTGTTATCAATTCAATGCCCCCCTCGTCGAACATTCAATCATGAGATTGCAGACCATGGCTTAGACAAGGAGCCTTGTTTGCATGGCTGTTTGGAAAGTGAGGGTGGGTTGATGAGCAGCGGGTCGTGGAGTCATGAGGACCATCACTACCCTACATCGTGCTGTTGAAATCAATTGCTCCGCATATAGCTGAGCATCACTGGCGATGCCGGGGGTGCTGAGCGTGGGACATGCACGACATGTCATGTACCTCTGTGTGCAACTGCCACGTAGCCATGGGAACCTTCGACCCAAATCTTGATGGTTCCAAAGCAGTTGGCATGCATGTGGTTTTATTCGAGGGCGGTTGCTTGATTTTCCTCGGAGCTGACGGACTGGGATTGCGGACGGGTCGAGATGGAACGAAGCGGCTGACCCCCCGAGGCCCACTCAGCAGCCCAGCTGGTCTGCGCCGGGGCGCCAAGCCGGCTGGGGCACGATGCCAGGGTGGTTTCGCCTCCTTGGCCTGCTGTGTTGGAAGTCCGCGGCTGATGAATCCGCAGGAAAAATATGGCAGGTTTCACGCGTCACGCTGGAGAGGTCTTCACATCCTTGCGGTCCTGCGCCTTCGAATTGGTCCTGAAACACATGAGTTTGAGCCGCATCACGTTCAAGATGTCTTGCTGTGGCTCATCCGTTGTCCGAGTTGTTTTCACACGTTTGTTCACAAGTTTTTGCGATGTCACAGCTATTGCATGCGCAGAGTCGGAGAAGCATTGCCAATTGCGCTGCAACGATTGGTCCAGGTCGTTGGCAGGGATGCCCTTCTACCTGCTTTGCACCATGTCCATGAGCCAGTGGCTTAGCACCGGGACCCGTGTTGAGTTGCACGGCAGCTGCAGCCTTGCCCCGCCAGTCGTTTGCATACCAACAGGTTGTGGCAATTCTAGAAGAGTCCTCAACGCAATGTTCAGGACTCGTTTCACAGGAGAGAAATCCTAGGCCGTGACATGCTGCCCTTGCGGGCAGAGCAGCGCGCTGTGCCCTTGCCACCCAGAGGTCTGCCAAGCTCTGTGCCGGCAAGCAGTGTGTTAAACCTTGCAGTTTAAACATCCCCTTCAGGGCCAAATTGAACGTGGTTTTGGTGGGGTGATATTTGAAGGGGACATACCTGGACCCGGCACCCGGGCACTTGTTTGGGATCTTAGCATGTGTTTTGCTCGTGTGAGGCGGGAAGGAACAGGAAGTGAAATAGAGCGGAACAATGAGGCATAGTTGGTACTTGGTTGTGCACGTGTCGCCTGAAACCAACCCGACTAGAGATCCCTGGGTTAAAAGCGACCTTTCTAAAAAAATAAATCTATTGGGTGAGTGTTTTCGTTTCAGTTGGCACCGTGTTCAATGGCTTGACATGGAAAACTGAACGGGAACCAACGAGTTTGGGCGTTTCGCCCCAGTGGGCTGGTGAGGTGGGTTAGAAGTTAGAAGCTTGGACGCTGCTTTCCGCCAGGCACGCTGATCCTCGGACGACAGCATCAGCCCGGGTTTTTCGAAGGCGCATGCTCGGTGCGACACCTTGGTAGGCTTGACTGGCAAGTGGAAAGCGCTGGTAAGCTCCCTGGGATGAATGCTTCTCCCTCCAACTGGGAAAACGGTTATGTTGCGGATCAAAAAAACAACCCGGGTGTATGATGATTTTTTTTGCTTCGCATCCATGCCGGCAACGCGGGCAAGTCTTCAAGTTGCACTTGGCAAAAGAATTGGGGAGCTTTGCTTTTGACAGGTGTGGGGGCACCGGGCATCCATTGTAACCCCCAGCCAATTGGGCCAACATCGCCTCGCGCGCCTTCGCCTTTGGCTGAGTGCACGGAGATCCCCGCGGCTGGGGCCGGAAACTCGGCCCATGGCAGTGGGGATGGCGGACTTGGAGCCGCGGGCGAGCCTGGTGTCCATTGCCTCGGCGCCGGATGAAGTCGATTTCAGCGCCATCATGGAGTGCTTCGGCCAAATACAAGTGCTGCCCTTGAGACCCCACGTTTGCAATCTGTTGCACGGGCACATGAATGCCCCTTATGTTTGTTGCTACATTTGTCGGCAGGCATTCCCGCGATCATGGCACTATTTGCAAGCGATGTGGAATTTCCGCTGGCAAGCAGAGGCCCTGACGTTTTCTCCGCAAAGGTGCGCAGCAGTCAGGGCGACTAAGCGGTCCTGAAACGGAGCTTCCCTTGACGCGACCCAGGCTGATGACCTCCAAGTACACCTTGGACCTAGTGGACCGGCACGTGGCGGCCATCCGGAAGCTTTGCAAGGCATGGGCAATGGGACACTTGTGGAGTTTTTTTTGTTGCTTGAGCAGTGAGGCAAATGCCTTGCCCATTTTTTCAGTCAACGTTCCAACAGTTTCAGCCTCTTGTGTCGAGGCCCTGGTAAGTGATGCGTCCAACATGTACTTGGTTTACTTGTTCAATCTTGTCTGCGTATTGTGAGGGCCCTTCTGCGCGGGCGCGGCTCGCAAGGTGTGCTGCAACGGCTTCTTGCTGAAACACCTGGAAGCTTTGGTCGAGCTGCTACTTGGATGTGACCGGTTGATACCTGCATTGGCACTTTTTGCCTCTTAGGCCCCGTGGCTGGGCTTGGCAAAACATCAAGGCATTTTAGATGAGTTTGCACTGACTTTCGGACTGGCAAATGAGACAGCCATGTGTGGCGCGTTGGGTCAGTGGCAGGTCTTGGTAGCAATCAGGCAGTAGCATGCCATGTGACAGTCGCAGATCTCGCGACCGTTTGAAGTTTGTTCCGGGGTCATGGCCCAATTGGGACCTGTCACAATCTGGATCTGATCTATCCTGTGTAGGACACAGTCTTGAACCGCAACTAAAACATAAGAAAGCCACGTGGGATCAATCCACCGCACAACTTGGGTTTGTCTGAATTTGGGGAACGCCGAAAACAAGGGCGATGCTGCGATTCCAGGCTCTACTTGGCTGTGGAGCGCTTTTCTGAAGGTCAGGATCTGCTAGCGCAGGCCTTGTGCGACTTCACTCGCACCTCAGCTGCAAGTCAGTCAGTAACATGGAGATAGCTGCACAGAGTTGCTCAGCGACTTTACAGGATGAGGCCTGAGTGGAAACTGGGTTCGGTTTCCTTGTGCTTCCCCTTGCACGCCAAATTCGCCTGCGAAGTGTGTAGCTTGTACTTCAGGGTCAGCGAGCTTGTTCCGAAGACCCTCCACTGCCTGGAGTAGGAAGAAGATTCGTGCTGTGAATAGCACCAGAATTGGCAATGAAACACTGCCGCACTAAGAAAGTTCAACTGACAGTGAGACACCACCGCGCTGTGAGTAGCACCAGAGCAAAACATTAGGCAACTGCCTGCAAGTGACACGATGGCGCCGAAGGACGCCGGATGCATATCCCCGAAGGGAAGCCCGCGGAGGGACCCCGCCCAACCCAAATGCCGAAGAACCGCCGAGAAACTGGGTTCGGCGAGGCCAGCAAGAGGGGAACTGGGTGTGCGCTGAGGTGTCAGCCGAAGCTTTAAGCCCAACTGCCCAGCGGAGCACCACGGCCCCAAGCAAACAGAAACAACATGCAAACCGAGGGAGGGGAAGAACTCTAAGCTGTATAAGAGAGCCCTTCCCCTCCCGCGGGCGGCAGTGAGGACACCACCTCCCCGATCCATAGGCACAGCACACCGCGGCCCCCCCCCCGGAGGGCAAATTCGCCTGCGAAGGATGCCCCTTGAGCCTTCCTGAACATACTGAGGTGTGGCATCCCAGCCCTTTGTGAGCTGCAAGTGACCCGGCATTCAGCTGGCATCACCAATCAATATGGGAGAGCGGTCCACATCCATGGGACCCGCTCGATTCATACATGGCTTCCTTTGCCGAGAACATGTGCATAATTCCCAGGGGTGGAGTTCATGACGGCTTGCGGGCGACCAAAAGAGCATCGATATTTAAACACGAAGAGGGGGATTCAGGGGTTTGAAAAAGTCTGTCCAAATGCCAAAATGGGTTAGCCCCCATGAAAAATTGAATGGTGACGGCCAGTTGCCTGAGCTCAGGTCCGGCACATCTTGAGTTCCACCCTTGGGCTCAGGCCACACGTTGGATGCCCAACCGTAGTTTTTATGTACAATGTTGTTTCCTCCATTCATATTTATTTGCGTTATTTCAGAGAGGACCTATATACATTTAGGGCATCCAAAACAAGCCCTAGATCCTTGTTGGATAGCTTAGTCTGTTGGTCGCAAGTGTGCCCAATCCCTAAGATGCCCTTTTCCATTTGCCAACATGACAATTGGTACAGGGCTTCCTTCGCAGAAGACGCCAACTGGTAACTGACTTATGCCCCCCCCCCTCCCTTGCTTTAGTAAGGACGCAGTGTTTGGCTTTGGGCAGTTATTTCATGTGGCTTGGGGTGTTGCGATATGTTTTCTTTTTGGATCTTTGGGTGGTAGACGCATCAGCTTTTGGCTGCTTGAGTTTCTCTTCGGTGAGGTTTAGGTACAGCGCGAAAGCAACCCGCAGCTTAGGACCTCGGACATGATCACCTACGGGCACCATTTGCCTGCCTTCGTAAAGGGCCTGGTCAGCGTCTTGAGCTTCACCCTGCCCACCGAGCCCCCCGCGGACCCTGCAGCGCGGGGGCCCGGAGCAGGATTGGTGGACCGGGCGCCAGCTCTACTCCGAGGAAGGCGTTTCTTGTTTTCCCCCAAGGGTGGGCCATGTCAAAAGCGCAAGGGGCCAAGCTTGGGACCCAGCAAGTTGGACGAGGGAAGGTCATAATGTTAAGGTTTGCTTGAATAGTTCCCCCGGGAACAGTGCCAGCAGTCATTTGGGGTCTGGTTTGTTGGACCGCTTGAGTTGGGGGTGGTCTGGGTTCAACTTCGACTTGCCAAGACTTACTTTCAGATTCCCAGTACTTAATTTAGTATCGCAAATTCTATTTTGACTATTGCCAATTCATGCCAATTCCAAAATTAGTATTGCCAAGACCGTACTCGCAGATGCCCAGATGTCAGAAAAAACTATCCTTTTAAAAGTAGTCAATTGGTAAGGCATTGCTTTTGGATTAAGCACTCACCCACCTCAAAAAAAATCAACTCGACATTAAAGCGACCATCAGATTAAAACAGATCAGGGGCTCTTGTGGGGCACCCCCTTGGTGTGAGTATTGATTTTGACCTTTATTTTGTGATTGTTCTTTTTGTGTTAATGTTATTAAACAGCTACGATGGTTTGGGGACCATGTCAACCAAAACGGAAAATTCTATATCTAAGACCTCTAGCTGGGAAGGGCTTAGGTGAAAGTAGAAGGCTAAGGCTTTGATCTGTTGTTTTTTCCCGGAGTTTCTTTGAGGATGTTTTGTTTGAGGTTTCCTCATGGCCGCCGTACAGGGACCATAGGGGGGGGGCATGGGTGATGGGAGGGGCCTTGGTATTCCAGAACGTTTGAAGGCCCATGTGGCACTCAATCAGGGATCCCAGGGGAAATCAGGCCCAATTTAGCGGACCCCCTTAAAAGCGACAAAGCCATGTGAGGTTTGGTAAAGTTGCCGCAGAGCTATGGTGATTCACTGATGTTTCTGTGTCCATATTGCGTAAGTGTTTGACACTGGCTGTACTGGAGGCGAGGCCACAGTGGGAGCAGAAGAAGGCGACCTGCGAGCGGCTACGGATTGAGGTGGCGCACACCTTGGCCTGCTGGGCCCGGTTTGGGCCTCTTGGCAAGAAGCGTGTGACCTTGGGCACAGCAACAACACACTTGCTCAAAGCACATTGGCCCTTTGACATCCTCACTACATAACGAATTACATTGGGGACGAGGGTGACGCAATCAAACTGGCTGAGCTCCAATTTCAGAAGTGTCACAGATCCTTCGGCATCTTGTTTTCCTAGCCACCGAACCGGCATCCCAAGGGTGGAAGACTGGGGTGCAGCAAACTGCAAGGTGATTCTCTGCGGTTCACCAAAGCGGATAAGCTACCTACTTGGGGTAAGCAAGATGTTGTGCTGCTGCCCGCGTATCTTGGGAAGTTGGCGCGAAGACTAGGCAGTAAACTCAGTAAACACTTCCGTGGTTTCAAAATTGCCAGGTTCCTCCAGAGTCAAGCACGTGCCGCAGGTTGGACGAAGATAGCGTGGAGTTGTTGCCCAACCAGCCGCTGATTCAGGCAGTGGCGGATTCAGGCAGGCATTGAAGTGCATGGGACAAGCACATACCCACACCACAGCGATGGTTTCCTTGAAACTCAGCAATCTGGAGGCACGCCACATAAGGTGTTGATCATGAAGGCTTGGTACTGTGGTTTGATAAACCCCAAGGAGTGTTTCTTGGAGAGAATCCTCTCTCGGAATGTAAGGGAGGCAAGCCATGTTGTGCAAGTCTAGTGCTTTCCATGTCCGAAGAGACAAGCGAAGGCAAAAGCTCTTGGAGGCCTACATATTTCAGCCGCTTTCCCGTCAAGCGATTTCAGTTGAGCTTCCATATATGCCAGTCATGCCCCCAAAATAAATAAGTCACTCCGCCTTGATCAGTCTCAACCGGAGATAAGTTTGTTCCGCAAGTTATGCCGCTGGGTGACACACTTGCTGGTCACACCCCAAGCTCAATGCGACATCAATGCTGGCAATGGATCCATGACACAACATCCTGCGGTTTAAGCAACAGCTACGCACCAGTTCGCCTCTAAATGTAACGTTTGCAACCGCAAATTCGTATTCCAGGACTGTGCTGGCCTCAGCTCTAAAAAGCGGTTGTCAGGTGTACTGTGGCCGACTTAATCAAGTAAACAAGCAGGGTTTCGAATATAGAAGTGTCCGGCATTTCCTCGCGCCGAGATTTGGCAAGTTCAGCAATCCCATGGCAAAGCGTCTGCCTTGGGTAAACTGTCTCTGCCCGTTTTCTTTGCCGCTCCCTGTTCTAGCCGCGAGAGTTCTTGATCAATTAGGAAAACTTAAGCTTGTCCTTTTATAGAGAAAGAGAGAGAGCGGGAGGGAATATGATTGCCACTTGGTGAGTTTGCAACAAGCCGATGATTGTCAGGCACGCCCAATTTGCGCATCTTGCGGCAATCCAACGTCATGGACGCCATCTCGGCTTCCTTCAGGCACACATCACCTTGAGCACCACGTGTGTAATGTTCGTAAATCAGTGAGATCTGAATTGAAAGGGAGGCAGCTTGTCAGTCAGAACCCCGTTGCACACTAGGTTTGCAGCATCAACAGCCATGATTCTGTTGAGATCGTCAGGTGTAAGATGTTTGCATCTAATAGTGAAACAACTCCGTGTCTGTTCACACAGCTCTTTGCATGCAAGCCAGCCTTTGGAGAACTGCGTGTAATTCATGGGCTCGGAGCGCTGGTCACAATGTATGGCTTGTCTTGAGTTGATGCAGTGGGCGGATTACCTCACGCAGTTTCAAGCGTGGGAGCATTTGTTTAAACGAAAGTAGCTCTTTTGTGGAATCTATTGCAAGTTGATTCTTCGAGCGAGCTACACAATCAGCAAGACTTTGCTTGTGCCTTTCATGTGGGCAGGTCAGAAGACAGTCCTGAGTCCATCGTCATCACAATGGGCGCCATTCGGGACATGTCACTGTATCGGCCGTTGGCTTGTCAGACCTTTGGCTTCACACTAATTTGAGATATTGTCACTCTGTGACACGATCGTTCCGCCTGTCCTTGAGTGCATGCCGTTATTTTGTATCGTTTTGACCCTTTGCATTGAGTTCTTTAACAGTTTGGCCGCATGCGGCACAAGGTAGTCAATGCCACGACTTGGGCACTTGTTGGCAACGGTGGCCTTAGGCCAGCACGTGTTGTGGATGACTGCATCTTCCGCTTTCGCACATACATGCATATAGTGCATATACCCTCCACGTCCAAGTGGGGCCCCTGTGAGTCCTGCATAGTTCCGCCTTCACCGGTCTGAGGATCACAAATTGTGGCTTGATTTCCAACTTGGTGCACGTGATTCGAGTGAACCTCCTGGGCTCCGATGTGCTGCTAGTGGCAGCAGAGGTGCTCTGGAACGTTCTGGCCCCTTGGACTTTTGCGCTTGCCACATGGGGCCGGTCCAAAATTTAGGGGCCACTTTTGGCTGGTGTGTCGGGAAAAAGGGAGCTGACGTTTTTTGGAAAAAGCAGAAATATTGTGCACGCCCGTCCCGGGGCTAGGACAAAAAACACGCCGGCTCGGCATTCGTGTGATGTTGTCCTGGCTGCTGAGGAATTAGATTGGGACGGTGCCACCGAAGCACTGGGACAAGAAGAGGTGATTGAATCCTTTAGGGATTTCATGAACGCGGTGCTGACGAGAGGCTACAGATTTAAGGCGCAAGATTCGAGGAATCACAACATGATGCGCGAGGTTGAAGGGACGCATCTGAAACATGGGGCTTTGTCTGGGTCATTTTGCAAGTTAGGCCCAGGTCAGGTTTTTCCCTTGGACGTGTTTTTCCCCTCAGGGGTCCCTGCATGGTGTGATGTTTACGGGGTATCATTTAGCAGCCCTTGCCTGCACAATTCTGCGCGGCAGCAAGCCACATTGGACCCTTGAGGCCAGACTGCAACCCAAACTGGCCGAGACAGCGCTAAACATTCACAGTTTCCTGCGTGTCCAACAAATACACCATTTCCCACATTCAGAAAAGTCAGGAAGATTTTGCGTAGGCTTCGCGCAGGCACGTCTAATATCCAAGCGGGAGGGGCGTTCCGGGCTCGTCCTTCATTGTCCCTCCAGCTTCTAGAGCTGGAGCTGACAAAGTGCGCTGCATGTAGCGCTTGTAGTGGCAAGTTACATGTTTGCGCAGCCCTAAATGTGTTGAGTCGCGTAGGCGCGTAGGCAAGCGTCTAGACAACTTGGTCTTGCGTAGGCGTTTGTGCGGGAGTGGTCACTTTGGCGTAGGCGGCGTAGGCATGGCGTAAGCAAGTAAAATAATGACAAGGGCCCACGCAAGCAAAAAAGCACTGTCCGGCTGTGAAGCCCGATGTTGCCCCTGAGTCCGGGACTCATGCCAAACACGTCGGCGCCGAATGTCGAAGTCTCGGAGCAGTTGCTCGAAACGGTCAGCGTAAACATGTTTTTTGTCCAGCCGACACTCCTGTGGAAAGCTTGTCGTGCAAGCACTTTTTGCTTGTATGCACAATGATAGATATGCAGCAAAAAGCGACCAGGAGAGCCGTGCCATGCACGTGCTGGATGATTGAGAGATGTCCAGTGTTCGCCAGGATAAGATCTTCCGGAATGACATGATGGTGTCTTGGCTTGATGGGCACATTCGCGAATTCCCGTTCAAGCCCTCCTTCTTGAACCCTTTGCCATGGGATATACGACCCACAAGTCAACAAGATGAGCAAATTGGAAGTTTCCACGCAACAGACCGCTCCATTTCGAGGTGCTATTGATGTACATCTCCAAGCGCGTGGAGAACCGGGTCCTTTTTGCCTCGACTGGACTCATGGCACTACTCCTGAGCTATTCCCTCTCAGAACAGAGACGGAAGGCGAGGGAACGAAACGACGCAACAGCGAAGCCGCACATCAAATACACTGTAGGGCCACTAAAGTGAGTCACTTTCTGACTGACTTGATTGACTGGCTTGATAAGTTTCACATGATGAGCCTGCCCGACACAACTTTGGTGCCATGTTGAAAAAGGCTCAATTCGGGATATGACTAAGCGAATGCACGTCAGTATTGCGCAGGTGTGTGTGTGTGTGTGGATGTGTGTGTATATATGTGAACATGTGTGTGTGTGTGTGTGCATGTGTATGCATGGGTGTGCGTGTGTGTGTGTGTGTGTGCGCACGGGTGTGTGGGTGTTTGTTTGTTTCTGTTTCTGTTTCTGTGTGCAAACACTAAAACTAAGTGACATGTGGCAAGGCGCGCTGGCAGATCGGTCTTGCACAGTCAAGCTTAGGCCCGTTTGTTGCAGACCTGCATGAAACTGCCCAAGCCTGTCGTTCGCGACTTGCTTCATTGAACGCAGATCTCTTCAACTATCATATCCAGATGTCCTACCACAGTACTGAATTGATGTCCGGGCTGTTTGATTTTGCGCTTGCGGCTTCCAAGTTTGCTAGGGCGTTTCATGCAACATGCAAAGCAGCAGCTGGCTGGTGCCAATCTGATTTTTTCTCAGATTCGCCCGAGCCACACTTTGGGGTGCTGCACCATGTTGAGTCCGTATCTGGTTTGCTGTTTTGGGCGATGCAACCATCACCTGAACCTTGTTGTTTTGGTTGAAAGTTGAGTTCCCTGCGATGACGTGACTTGTCCAAGGAGGCAATAAACGGGGCGGGGATCATGGCCACGTTGGGGGGCATCGGTGTCAATTCGGTTGGACATAGATGTCACTGCTTTCCGTCTAATCATTCAAGAGTGCCGTCTATGCTCCACCACTCGGCTTGGGACCGACACGATGCCTACGCTTTTTTGTTGCGACCGGCAGGATCTTCAGGCGAGCGGCATCCTCAAGGAGCTCCTGCCGGACATGAAGGTATTGCCAGTGCCCGGAAAGCAAGGAAAACTGAGGCCGAAGTCAGGAAAAACAACTTGGGTTCAAGAATGGGCGTGCTTTCGCACAGATTGGTTGTGTGTTCAGAGCAAGCAAACAGGAGAGCCTCAAAGCGTTTCATGACAGAGATTTCGGAAGCGGGATGCATTGTGTGTCTTGGTGACTATTTTATAGAGTCGTGTGACCCTGCACGTGCTCCAAGGATTTGGATGAGGAGAAAGCGCCAAAGAAGGGCATTCCCATCACCAACACGCAGGATCGAATGGTGTTGCATTTTCCGGGCTGGTTTTTAGGCCTGATGCGAACTATCAGTGCCCGATCATAGGCAAGCACCCCACTGGTCACCCTGAGTGGTCCATGTAAAGTCCCAAAAGATGGCCCAAGCTAGGGGGTCTCCTGGGCAAGCCGCTTCCAGGCATTGTTCACCATGTTCCACGCAGTTTGGGTTGGTTTCCGTGTGGTTGCTCTCCGTGGTTGCAGGCAGGCACCCTCATTCTCAACCCCAAACCTGAGTTTTGACTTCTGTTTTACCTTTTGGCTTCCGCTTCCTCCGGGGGGGGGGGAATTACATGCTGACGTCGCCTGTTTTCCGGATGATGTCCGCTTCTTCGGTGTTTAGATTGCAACTTCTAAGCCGAAAACGCCAATAAGAACCCAACCGCGCGCAGGAGGACATGGAGTTCCGCACGCTGCTGTGGGGCACCTTGGCGCGGTGCTGCTCCTCCGAGCAGTGCGCCGAGGTGGCGGTGCGCTGCGGCCTGGTGGAGCTCCTCAGCCCAAAAGCGAGCGCAGAAAATGGGACGGGACGAAGGGCGAAGGGGGTTCTTCCAAGAGGGGTGGGTTTACTCGCTTTTGGGGGGGCCTTGCAAGTGAGCATCACCTTTCGGGCCCATTGTTCTGAGGGGTGATGTTTTAAGGGGAAATGTGGGGAGACTTGGGAATGGGTTTTGATCCCTTGTGTGTCAAACCCACAACGGGATGTGCTTTTCTTGAGTTGGTATCCTTTTCTGGCTGGCTTTAAACGGAAAGCAAAGTGAACCCACCATCATTGGGGGTCCACCATTTTTGTCGCATACTTAAACTGTTTTTTTCGTTTACCCCCTTACCGTGCCAGGGTCCCTTACATGATTCTTTCGATGATGCTTACCACTAAAACCACGTGCTTTTACAATGCTATCGTCTGAATGAGCTGGGAAAATATATTTTTAGCTGACCCGGGGTAGCCCTTAAGGGACCCAACGCCTGCGAAACTCTGGGCTTTCATGTCAATGCTTGACGGGAGCACTTCCCAAATTCAAAGACGTGTGGTTTAGGGAACCCTGGGAAAAAAAGAGAACCAAGAGGAGAGGGAGGGATTTGCTAAAATAATTAATGCAACATGCGCCTCGGCACCTTTGTAAAAAATGTGATCTGAAAAGGAGGTCCGAATGTGGTCCTTTTTGCTTGGTTTAAAACATCACCTTTTGGAGGCAACTGTTTGCTGTTTTTTTGGGCGGGGCGATGCTTGCAGGGGGGACACAACGAACCACGAAGAGAGTGCCAGCGCAGGCAAATTGTCCGATTTCCCCAAATCCAATTTGTTGATCTGTTGATTTGAGGGAACCCTCGGGGAATAGTAGTTTGAAGGGCGGGCAGAACAAAAAGGCAACACACTAAGTATCAATGGACGTATGTAACTACATTCCGACAATTAACATGGAACTTCAATTCAGAGAACGTCTTTTTTGGGGGGAAAGGATCTGTGTTTGCCCTGGGCCCAATCTACACACAGAATAGACGTATATGGCAACAATCCAAAACATCCATCAGGACTCTGTGCACAAAAGTTTTCACTTTTCTGGGCCCCTCTTACAGTTTGAGGAGTGGGTTTGCCCATGCATAATTCATTCTCACAACAAGTGTGTACCCTCCTTCACTATACATTCAACATCAAGTCTACCTGCCATAGCAGGACAGTACGGCCAATCCTGCGTTATGGCCTTGACAACACGCGTTGCTGTTGTGAGGCTGGTGTTGTCGCTGGTTGTTAAGATAGAACTTGTCCTCCATAGACGCACTACATGTTTGGCACGTTTGATCTGCAAGTTGGTCAGCAAGGCAGGGCCAGCGTCCCAGTTTGTGCTCAATCATGACTTTAAGCTTCTAAACCATAAGCTTGAAGCCCAAATCCTCACCCTCGAAACCTGAAGTCCGAAGGCTAAGCCAGTCAGCTCATGGCAGGTCTTTGCTGGAGTGCTTAGATGCGGAGCCCCCGACAGAGCAGCAGAAGTGGAGCCAGGAGATGATGAGAAGTGGCACTGCCGCTAATGCTCGTGATTCCTTGTTTTGGTTGAGTGAGGTTGGTTGGCAGAAATGGTTGCGCATTTTACTTTACTTGTTTACTTTTGTTTGGCGGGGGGCGGGGGGGTGAGCGGCCCTTGGGGATCCCTGAAAGAAAAGGCATGGATTGGGGACTCACTTTGTTCTACGGCAAGGGCCATGTGCCACAACCATGGCAGGTTCTCACTCTGTGGCCCCACGTTTGTGATACCTTTCGGTACCTCTCTGAATGGGGAATAACTCGGAAGAACTCATGACAGACCTACCAGCATCACACAATGGCATTCAATGGATTCTGCTGCGCCAAACCTGAATTGAACCAGCACTTCTAGATGTGGCTTATCAGTCTGCGTGCAGCGTGTTCCGTGTGTTCATGTTAGGTCATCTAATTTTCTGTCTCCAGGCACCTGCAAAAAGGTTGAAGAGTCTAACGCCCACCAACGTGTGTCTTCCTCGCCCTGTTCTTGCCCTGGAGTCGAGCCTAATCCCCGCCAAGGGGCCACAAGTACCTTTTGGGGGTGACCTTTCTGGTTGACAGGTGTGTATGTACATGTATATGTATATGTATATGTACCTACATCCACATATATTTACACACACACGTACAAGCCTACAGCCACACCTATACTCCATCATTGTCAGGGACCATTGATTGCAGGAGCAGCGGAGGCAAGTGCAATTGGAGGCTTTGGCGGCACTCTTCCAGCTGGTGCAATATATGCCGGACGCCTTCATGGACGCCCAAGGCCGGCCAAATCTTCAAAGCACAACTTTGTTCATCGCCACAGCCTTGAGAATGCGGTTGGGTGATTGACCTTTGAAGCTCCATGCATAATTCCATGATCCCCTTTGTGACTGGAAGCATGGAATTGGGAATCGCGCAGCTCCAACCGGACTAGTTAGAGCATCCTTTCAGACATTGCACGCGCGGCAAATGAATCTGCCAATGGCATGTAGGAAGCCAGCTTCTCGCGCCTTTCTGTTCACAGGAAAGATGGGGGATGCGTTCAGGATGTGTATCCTCCTTTTGTGACTCTCGCTGCAAGCTTGGCAAGGGGTGGAATCTTGCCAGCCTCATTGCTCCAAAACCCTGAAACAAGCAAACACTGCAGAACGTGTACCACTTTTGGCCGAGCTAGACTGTGGAAAATGGCCTTTGGCCAACACAGTTGCGGGCTGCGACTCTTGCGGTGTGTTCCTCATGCCATTTGAAGTTGTTTGCAAGCCCCCTAACCACGGCCCCAGAAAACATATTTGGGGTCTCGCGCCTGAAAGCTGCAGCCAACACCAATTTCTGGATGGAATCAGTGAGCTGGTCACATTTGCTTGCTCTTCTGGCCATAGGAAGTTTACAAGGCAAAACAATAATTCGGCCTTCGAACTCTGGACATGTCGGCAAGGGTTTGTTTTGACCAAGTTGTCAGTCCTTTTCTTGGGTTGGTGCTTGAGGGAAGTGAAGGGGAAGACCGACCACTTGGGACCTGCCCTGTGAGGAAATGGCACGGTGTTGCAGCTACTGCAGGCCACACGCAGCCGGGAGGTGCAGAAAAAGTGCCTGCACCTGCTGCAGGTTGCAGTGCGCATGGGCGACTTGATGAAAAAGACGAGCGTCACTTTGTTCAACCAAAGGTTCGCATGCGTTCCTCTTGGGGATGCAAACGCAAGTTGGCCAGGTTCAATGGAAAGAGGATCATTGTGTCAGGAACTTGTCCACATGCTTTTTTTTTCAGGACCTATTTTTACTTCAGGCAAGATTTTACGAAGAAACTCACATCTAAACAAACCTGAAAAAGGGCCCCTCTTAGAGAACAAATTCGTCCAGCGGGTTCTTTTCAGATTAGATGCTTTGGGATGGCAAAAAGAGATGAAATAACCCTTTGAGTCTTGTGCGTGGAAAGTTTCACTATGCCTACCGTACTACCTGATGCAGATCCCGCCATCGGTACTTTTCCGCTCTGAAATGAAGATGTGCTGAGCAATTCCTTCTTCGTACTTTGTATGGCTGAAGCTCAGAATCAACATGTCAAACTGCATGGGTCAAGTAGAAAACGTGCGGAGACCGGCTTTTTCCGACCCTGTCTCTGAGGCCGGCATTTCGCAGAAAATCTTGGCCAACTTGGCAACTTGGCAGCATGAAGAGATGTGGCAGGGCCGTTGCAAAGATCGAAAACAGCCAGAGCGAAGGAGGCATCAGTCCCAGCCCAAGGGAAAATGGTTTAACCGCTTCTACATGGCCGCTACAAAAATTGAGGGGAGTTGTACCCCTTTGCGTGGGAGCAATGGTTTGGGAGTAGTGTGCTTGAATGACAACCAAGCGGCTGAACTACTCAACGCCCACATGTTGGTTGCCATGACTCTCCTTGCCGTTCGCCATGTTCGTTTCAGAGCCGCACCCTTAAGGTAGTACCCCGAATATTGCACCATGAATACTCTGTTCAGGCCTTACGAGATCGCAACAAGTCTTTCATTTAGGAGGCGTACCACCTGAGTGGTGCACCGTTTCCGCTTTGCCACGTCCCCGATCGCTGAAATCCACCTCACCCACTGATTGACACCAATGATGTTGTTGGTATTTCAGACCGTGAGGTTGTCCTTTGAAAGGTGTCCAGAGCCATCTGGCGAAAGCCAGTAGCACAGGCGCCGTCGGGACCTTGGTGGAGCTTTTTACGGACAAGGACAACCCCATGACCTCAAGGCAGATGTGCGCCTCAGTTCTGGCGACCATGTGCAAGGACTCACCATGCGCACCTGCCTGTTCTGTGAACTGGACATGTTTGACAAAAGCCATTACCACCACAGGTCTTCATGATGTGGCTGCTTGTGGGGCGGCATGGAACCCTTGTGCTAGATCAGTGATTCAATGTCCAGATTTGCTTCAAGCAGCAGCGAGTATAGTATGTTAGCGCCAGCACGGTCCATTCCTGCGCAGTCCCTAGGAGCACGGTGAGCGAGTGGGGGCTGTGCTAGCAAGCACGGCCATGGTGAAACGCATTGGGGAGTCTTTCAAATCTTTGGAGCAAGAGTGTTGCCCGCACATGCAGCACATGTTGCGTTGGGATGGGCAATGAAGTGCATGTGAGTGCCAGGCCAGCAGCAACAGCACTCTTGTCGGCTTTCTGGCTCTCCCTTTGCAAGCTGTTTGTAAGTTGCCTCCATGGATATGAACGTGGAGCCCCAAAACGTTTTCTCAGAGGAATCTTCACTGTCAGGACAAGAAAACATAAGAAACCCTTTTGGGGGGTTCCTTCTACCCATTGTGCAGAAGTTGCATGCCCATGCATGCTACCGCTACCCATTCGCCTGCCCAGCGCCAGGAGTGCCCGGACAATGCCCGAGAGTTCCGCAAGAAAGACGGGGTGGAAGCCATGAGAGATGAAGTGATCTATCGCCCGGGCGAGACAACCGACAACCATTTGTTTTATAGCCTCTCAGCTTAAACGAAAACGTGCCATGCCATAGGCCCAGATGTTAAAAGCTTTCGGGCGAGTTGTGTTCTGCGGCTCGGTTGATTCCAGCATGGTTTGTAGTATTCGAGTGATGGAAGGAGAGGTACTTCTTGAGTTGGGGCCATGGCACATGTTCTTGCTATAATAGCCTTGTCCAAGCTTGGAGTATTTTGGAGTTTAGGCGCCGGATTGTTTCAAACCTGGGGAGGTCTCCAGACAACGTGTTGGTTTCCTGTTTTATTAGGGGTCGTTATATTTCTGTATTTGTATATGGTGTCTAAAATGACTTGACCCCCTTACGGAAGCAGCAGGAGCGGTTTTGGTTGGTTGTTTTTTGGGTACATATATACTATACATATATATATATATATATATATATGGTACAGCGTTGCCAGCCCCCCCCCCCTCCCCCCCCAATGGTCATGGGTCAGGCAAGTACCCCCCCCCCCCGGTGGTTGTGGTCCTGTGGTTGGGTTGTGGTGGTTTGGGGTTGGTTTAGAATTGGTTTAGGGTATATATATATATATATTTAGGGTGTATTTAGGGTTAGTTTACGGTTGGTTCAGGGTTGATTTAGGTTGATTTATGTTGATTTAGGGTTGGTTTAGGGTTGGTTTAGGTTCAGAGGTGTACGGTCGGTTTAGGGTTTGGTTTACGGTGTATTTAGGGTTGGTTTAGGGTTAGTTTAGGGTTGGTTTAGGTTTAGGGTTTATTGTTTAGGGATTAGTTTAGGGTGTATTTGGGGTTAGTTTAGGGTTGGTTTAGGGTTAGTTTAGGGTTGGCTTATGTTGAATTTGGGTTGGTTTAGGATTAGAGGTCTACGGTTTAGGGTTTGGTTTAGGGTGTATTTAGGGTTAGTTTAGGGTTGGTTTATGGTTGGTTGCGGGTTGGCTTGTCCTGTAGGGGTGGGACCGTAGGTGCCAGGATCCGGGGGCTCGGGGTCTCGGGCCGGGGGGGGGGGGTCCTGGGGGACCATACCATATGGGGGGGGGGGGGGTAGCAACACGGAACACGGGACCATATATATGTATACATAGTTATGTATATTTGGGGGGGCTCTTTAAACAAGACCTTTGATCATTGTTCCAAACTGAGTCGTGTCTTCGCAGCAATGATTCAAAGGAGGCCCGCTGTGGATTGCAAAGTGCTGCACCAGTTGGGATGGATGAAACCCTATGACCATTGGGGTGAGCCACCCACCGACTGAATGATTTTGTCCACATCAAGATCCCAGGTCTTTGCGTGGTGGACTGCGTGTGGAACTCAGTGGTCGGCACTCGGAAGAACGAGATCCGCTTCCTGGACGCGGGGGGATTGTTCGCCTTGCTGGACTGCCTGGAGGCCGGCGAAAACGGAAATGCCGCGAATCAGACGCCAACAGAGAAATCCCCGTGTGCTTGTGCTCCGCATGATCTTTCCGTGGGTAGCAAATTGTACATGTTGTGGGCGGATAGCCAGACCATGCACCCTTTAAAGGAGAGGCCTACATCACACGACCATGGACCGCACCTTATTTGAGTTAATGTTAATTTCACCAGGTGGCTCGTTCAGAGTTTGCCAGGTGGCCCCGATGATCCTGAAGCGGCAGATCATCGGGTGCCTGGCGGACCTTATGGAGTACAAGAAGGCTGCGAAACTCTTCACTCAGTGGAACTCCCAGGCGTGGCAACCAAAATGGGAGTGGATTTGAGGGCTTTCAGGATAAGTCTTCATTGCTCCCTTAAATCTGAGGGTTTTAGGCAGGGGAGAATAAAGACGTGACGGTCTTTAGGCCATTGGCCTGCTTTAGGCCGTTGGCCAGCTTGTCAGCCGATGGCAATACCAGGTGACCATGAAGGGAGCCTTGCGACTGCTGCTCGAGCTTTGGCAGAGCGAGCAGCAGGCGGCGGGCAACTTGGCACCCGACGGGGTCATCACCGATCTGGAGCAGCCGCTGAATCCTCGCACTTCACCATCCGATCGGATGGCCACTTGGCTGCGGTCTCCGCGTGCGTGCGGCAGCTAATTGCTGGAACTTACCTTGCCACATTCCTTTGTTGTCATGCAAGGGGAGTCATTGCTAAGTGATGAAATAGACATGGGGCTGACTCACTTTGGTATCACGAGAGGTGTGGATTCCCCAATCATGCCTTCAATGGTGCCGCTCCATGTCAAGGCAGACATTGATGATGGTGAGAGTACCATCACCAGCACCAGCCGCTTCGCGAACAAGTTCCGGCACGCCAAGAATTTTGCAGACACCGCCACCAGTGCTGCCGCCCGGACGACCATCTCCAAGGGTTTTGAGCAAGCCTCGGCATCCGCGCAGGCAGGGGCAGCTTCGCTAGGGTCTCAGCATTGAGCTTGCGTCCCTTCAGTCAGCCACAATCAAAACAGCCCCGCAAAGGAAACGTCCCCATACGTGATGCTTTGCGCACAAAGGTAGCAAGTGTAATTACCTTGACCCCTTGTCTTTCCCGGTCGGGGGTGGGATATCACAATTCTCGTACTTCTTGTTGAGTACCCGTGGCAGGAGAAGCAGGGATCCCAGTGGCTGTCCAATGCCAATGGAATGGAACACGACTGCCGAGCAAAGATTTACGCAGTACTAAAGTGCATTGGCTTCGAGTGCCAGGCAGGGAGTTTCCTTTCAGGATCCCGGCGCCATTTGAGGCGCAATCCAAACCAGATGAGGATTATCGGGGGACAGATGTTCGCCACACCATATTGTTTACCATGGGTGGACCCCCCCTCTATCCAATCTCAGGTTTTCATTGTGACTCTGGTCCATGCCTTCGAGATGGTTTCTTGTCAGGGAATGAACGCAGGAGACGCTGAGCATCGGCGAGAGGCAGCAAATGGAACTGGTGAAACTTTACCCCAACGCGGTAGAGCTGGAGATGTGGATCCAGGCCTTCACTTGCTACGGGGCATCCGGTCCAAGCAATTTCTGCACAGGTCGATCCTCCTTTCTGCAGGTTGTTCACCCATCACTTTTCCCACGCCGTCCCCCCCGGCATTGGCCGATGATTGAAACGCGGGACTCCTGCAGAGAATCAGAGCATGCATGTGAGTTCTGCTTAGATAAGTTCTACCCTTCAGAACTCATGTTCAGGTTGCCGCTGCAGCTTCATACTCTTGCCCAAAGCCGGTCCATGTAGCACGCTCCAGCCATGTCCGTGGGCCCGCGGAGCACGCAGAGAGAGGGGACGACCGTGACAACCATGTCACAGCGGCTGCGTGCGCGCCGCTGTGTTTGTCGATTCCCTCTCTATGCGCAGGCCGGAAAGTTGAGAGAGCCACTTGCGCGACAAATTTGTTAGACCAAACCGCACATCTCACGTGTGCAAGGATGTAAGAAATGAACAAGGAAGTAAAAGCAACAGGCAAACCATAAATAGGTACGGCAGCTCCTCAATTCTTTACATTGCTTTGGATAGATTGTTTCAGCATCTGGTTTTGGACCTTGGCTCAAATGTTGCAAGTTGTTGAGAAAAGGCCGAGGCTAGGGGCGGGGACTGAGAGGACTGAGAGGACTGAGAGGATTGAGAGGAATGAAGGGTAGACAGATGGACAAGATAAGGCAGTTGAATGATACAACGCGCAGCTACAGACGCTGCAGGGAATGTAAGTCGCTGCGGCTACAGACGGCAGGCAAGTAGATTCTAAGTAGATGGATGGGTAGATAGATCACCGGCTGAATCAATCAACGGATGCCATGCGTTGCTATGCGGCGCAACGCAATGTGTCGGGATGGGCCAATCAATCCATGGATGGTCAATGAATAGGTACACAAATAGATTCGTAGCATGGGTAGGCGCAGCTTCTGTTAAAAAAACGGTATAGGGCAGATGAGGTAGGCAGGGCGGCGATAGGGCCGATGCAAATAAAGGCTTAGATGTGGTAGATGCGGTTGCAGTGGATAGGGTAAACAAATGTGATAGACGGAATGGGTAGATGAGACAAATAGGGGCAGCGGTTAGCTGGCTGGTTAGGCAGATTTGGCACAGGTAGACTCATTTTTAGGTTTGGTACCGCATTGACGCAGACATGCAGCACACCTACATGTGAAGATGCAGAAAGAGCTAGACACCTCAGTGGCTTGGCTGGGTGTGATGGCCTGTGGTGAATCGTGGATGCGTTAATGCCATGGCGAACATAGTGATACTTACAGCATCAAGCCAATGCATCACAACTTGTATTCACATTGTTTGGGCGCAAAGCTTCCTCGCCCAAGTAAAACGTGTTGCTTATTGTGGCAACTACGTCCACTTGCGTGATTGGAAACGAGGGCAGGCAACCCTCCGAAAAAGGTTTACGGGGAGGGGAGGGCCTGGCGGGCACACATTCACGCATGGAAGGTTGAGCGGTTCCGTTTGGACCGTTTGCATGATTTTTGATCTTGGATACTCGCATTCGGCCATTTGATTCAACACGTCCTACACGTATCGGAGCAGTGTTCAATATTGTTCAATATCCAAGCTTGCGAGGGGTTCGGCGTCGGAGGCCGACCGAAGACCCGAAGACACGCCAAAAGTTGAAGCCTGGCCGTCGGTCGCCAGCGCAGTGCAGGTTCTGGTGGCCATTGTCGCTGGGATTCTGCTTGGCTGGCTGGCGCCAAACGTTGCCAGCAATCCCTGGATCAAGGCGATGGGGACGCTCTTTGTGACTTGGTTTTTGCTACGGCCTTCAGCCTTGCGACGTTTTGCGAAGCGGCATTTCTGTATTTATACTGTGTCCCTGACCAAAAACGCAGCTAAGTTGTGTTTGCTGCAGGGCATCAACGACCAACCAAGGTGAAGATGGTCAAGATGCTTGGCCAGCACTCGTTCAGAAGGTGGCATTCATGTTGGGGGGGGGGAAGTTCTGTTTGGCCCCTTGGCTTTCCTTTAAAACTGCGCCAAAGTGGGTAGCCTCGAAAAAAGGCATGCCCGCGTTTGCTCTGAGTGACGCAATGCCTGGAATCTATTCAGAGCGGGGACCCTTAGCAATTCCACGCAAAGGATTGCTGCATCTCAGCCAAGCCGGCTCAATCGAACGCAAGCTATTCCTGACATGGAACCCAACCAAGTGACCCCCAAAAAGTAGGATTCCCCGAAGCATCACCTGATGCTTGCAGCTGGCAATTCGAGACCATACCTGTAGTACATTTAAGCTTTGCTTTGTGCAAATCATGCCTCCAGATCGTGTCGGTGGTGTTTGGCCAAGTCAGCGAGGCCATTCAACGTTGGAGTGTGCCTTGCATGTTCACCTCAACAATTTTCCTTTGTAGCAGGGCAACACAGTGTGTGTCCGAAATGGCCTTGAACCACTCAGGCGCGCCGGAATGCTTGTTGTCACGATTCCACTGCAAGCACCCATTTTTTTCAACGCGATGCTACCAAGGATGGTGATTGCCCCCATCATTTTTTGCACGGTGGTCAGTGGCATCGCCCACGTGGCGGACGCAGCCAAAGTAGGCCGTGTTGCTATGAAGGCTCCGGCATACTGATCATTGAGTGGGTGCTGCATGTGTCACAATAGGGGGACAAAAAACATGGGTGGTTTCCCTTAGGTTTTCCCTTTCAAGCCAACCCCAAGAAGCGTACCATCAACAAAAACATGAAAGTCAGCTGATCGCACTCTGCTTTTTGCAGCGGCGCGTTGTGAAAGCCTGGCCCATTTCAGCCACTCTGACGGTGAGCTCCTGTGGGGTTGTTGACGCTATTCTCAGCTGCCGGGAAAGGAAGAACTGAAGCAAGACCATGCAGATGGCTCACTGATGTTTGCCTTAGCTTTGCGTGATTTGTCTACGCATGGCCTGCACCCCCAGCAGTAGCTGGTGTTTAGCAAGCGCGGATTGGCGTCATTGGCACTGAAACCGGCAGTCCAGAAGGGGACAAGATGAACAAGCGCCCAATCACCAAGTCCTTTTTTGGCTCCTTACCAAAGGGCCCAATCCTTCAGTGGACCCTCAAATGAAGATGGTTTTCTCAGGGAAGCCGGGAAATCACCTCACCCAGCCACTTCAGTCCCCACAATTCTTTCAGGCCATCATCTACTTCGAGGTGATTTCCACCTTGGCGCTGGTCATCGGTCTGCTTGCAGCGGAGCTGGTGCAGCCAGGCCGCGGCATCAACGCGACGCTGGACCCAGCGGCGGCTGAGAAGTTCGCTAAGGACGAACTGCCCCTCAGGTACCCCACTTTGCTATGTGGCTCTGGGTCAAAAATAGGTACCCAAAATGGCACCCTTGTAAATGGAAAGAATGACTGAGACCTGTGGTCCCCTGATGGTTGAATTTTGACGCATACCCATGTCTCAAAGACAGGGCACCGCAAAATGTAAATGTGTGGCTGCCCGTTGCCCTGAAATTTGCCAAAGTGATGTTACACTGAAAGCACACATACATGCCCAGTTGTTCAGAGGGAAGCGATCTCTGAGTTAACCGGCTGGGTTTTCAGTGGTGGCCTATGTCTAGTCACAGTGTCAATGTTTTGTATCTTGCATATCTTTTCAGGCACGTGAGATACCTCATATCAGCTGCTTATATACAAAGACGGAACGTGGAGATGTACAATGTAGAAATCTAAGAATGACTGTGGATGCTGTCTGTGGCTGCAGGCTTTGCTTGGACAGGACAGCGAATCCCATTCCACGCTGGATTTTGTGTCGAACATCATCCCAGCCACTGTGGTGGGTGCGTTTGCGGAAGGCGAAATCCTGCAAGTGCTCTTCTTCTCCCTTATCTTCGGTTTCGCTTTGATTGGCCAGGGGGACAAAGTGGAGGCAAAGTTGCTTAAATTTGAGTTTGAGACGGTGAGGCAGCCAGCTTTCTTTAAGCGAAGAAGTAGAATGTGCACGCTGTGTGTTCTCCTCAGAGCACCGCTTCTTGTTTGTTCCTTCAAGGTGCTGCACACTTTGGTGGACCAAGTGGGGCATGCCATGTTCGGCGTGGTTGGCATTGTCATGCGCTTCGCCCCGCTGGGCGCGTTTGGCGCGATGGCCTTCACTGTCGGCAAGTACGGGATTGGCACACTGCAGTGCCTGTGTAGCGATGGTTGGCCCCGTTGTTTTTGGCTTTCTTGGTATGGGGGCTTTGCGAGGAAGTTCCGAGCAAGACCCCACATGAGGTTCGTTGGAAACCCGGTACTGGTTTTGTACGGATAGTCCGAACCCAACCCTTATGGCTGCCTTTAATTCCCTTGTTTGTATCATGTTCAGGCATCTTCCATGGTGAGGGGCATTGTAACAGACCTCACACGATGCCACACCAAAGAAAAACCTGCTGAACAGAAAGCGGAACGTGCTGGATTGGCGTGGGCAGAAGTTTTCTGCTTGCATACATGAAGAATGCCTTGTGTTTGGCGCAAACTGGTGAGAAGTGATATCTTCACAGTTTGCCTTGGTTTGGAGCCTGCAATCAAGGGCATGTGCAATCAGGAATCTGATGGGGCTGGTGGCCACGAATTACATTGCCTCCTTTCTCTTCGTGGTTGTCGTGTTGGGCAGTGTGGGCCTCATCGCTGGCGTTAACATCTTCCGCCCTCCAGTCGGCAAGAGATTCCGTGAGGGGTGAGCTTTCATGATGCAGGGTTTCCTTGGCTTTCCTTTTTGGTTTGATTAAGCCTCAAGAAGGTTCAATTTTCTTCTAGGGGGGTCATGTTTAATTGCGTGGAAATTTAGTGACCCCTGTGCTGTGCAACCCTTCAAGTGGAAAGTAGCCCATTATCATAATGCATGGAGCCTGCCCTAACAGAAAACATTGTGCAGCACACAAGTGCAGGCTGCATCCTTGTTCCAAGTATGCTCAAATTAATGCAGCCATAGACGTTGGCTGCCGGATGCTTTGCAACCAGCAACCACACAATGTCATACAATTGTGATGGCCAACAATCCTTGTTGTCAAGTTTTGCAGGGCACCAGCACGCAGCAAGGCGTTGCTTCAGTGTTTTCAGGTGGTCCCGCGGATTTGTTCACCGAATCATGTGCAAGAAGCATTGTCTAGGACTCCAATGATTGTTATATCAATCAGATCACATCGAACCAACAAGAGAAACAACTCAAAGCTACAGTAAAGCCCAAGACGGGTGGGTTGTAGGCAATTGTGATTGAGGCTTGCTCCTCTACATCAAGCAGGAGATTTTGCTGGCCCTTGCCACCAGCTCCTCCGAGAGTGTATTGCCATCGCTGATGCAGAAACTGGAGGCAGCAGGCCTCTCAAAGCCTGTGGTTGGATTGGTGGTGCCTTTGGGCTACTCCTTTAACCTGGATGCTTGGCCTAGTTGTTGCATTGTGCTTGCAGCGATGTGACCAGGCAGCGTCGATTGGGTTACCTTAAGCATTCCAAGAAAGTGGGCAGTGTGGCAAGAGCAAGACAAGGACAGGAATCAGCCGCGCTGATGTTGGCCGTGCTTGCACAGGCAACGCATATTAGTCAGAATGCAATTGGCGTTTGTTTGTTTACATGTTGCCTAGCTCCGGCCACCTCGTTGCTACCCCACCTCGTAAGTATGAAAGTGGCATAGCATGGGAGACAGCTGTGAAGGCACGTTGGGTGGGTTCGTTTTTGCAAAGTCAGTCTCGCTTGATGAGTGCCTAGAATTAGACTCATCCGTGCTGCTGTTGAATGACATATGTCTTTTCACTGCTCGCACTTCCTTCAGAAACGTTCAGAAACTGCTGATTTTGACTGACATGAAGAAATGATACACAAAAAGGTTTGGGTCGCCCAAAAGTGGCCTGACGCTTAACTTTCCTAGCGGGTCCTGGCTCCCAGGATGGCACAAACATCTACATGACATTGACCACGCTTTTCATCAGCCAAGCGATGGGTGTGGAGCTGACGTTGGGGGACAAGCTGCTTGCCATGAGGGTGTTCCCCGAGAATTATAGATGTTGGAAGGTGTTGCTCCGAATGCCAAAGATGGGCCATTCAAATGGCAGTGACATGAATTTCACAAAATGCCAAGTAAGATAGTGATAGGGAGATTGAAATCAAGCACTTTGGAATCACAGAGAGGGAATATGTTTGCCCAGAACCACTAGCCATGGGACATTAGGAGAGCCCAGGAGCCAAGGATACTTAACATCATTCAACATTCCTATTAAATGGGCAGCAAAAGAGCCCAAATCGTCTTTGGGACCACTCTCAGCTATTTCCTTGGTTGTTCCAATGTAAACCTCGGGAGTTTTGTTTAAGCAGTGGTGTTTGAACAAAATTACAAGCGCAACTCCTCAGCTTTTGGCCGGCTTAGGCTGAAGGTTTTATCAGTTGCGATGCTGACCTCAAAGGGTGCCGCCGGCGTGGCGGGTGCTGGCTTCATCACGCTGGCGGCAACTTTAGGACCGACTGCATGGCAAGAGGCTCTTGGAACACACACACACAGTCACACGCATGTTTGTGTGTGTGTTGTGTGCTTTTGTTTTCGTGTTTGTGTTTAGTGTTCAACGTGAAATCGTTTCCAACAAGTCTGGGGACACAAGACTCAAGTTTCAACACATATAGACCATGGCTTGGCACGTGCTCCCATGCGCACACGCCCGCGAAGTAGGCTGGATAGCTGGTGGTTGGGTAGTAATACGCTAGTTCAAGAGTGAGGTTTTGAGGCCGACCCCCCACGAGGTGCTTGATGGATACGAAAGAGGGCGCATCTCCGGTCCAAAGCACTTCCAAGCGCGCTCCAAGACTGTAGTTCTTTCCGACCGTGGTGGTTTGCGCACGCGCGATATGTCCGTTGTGTGAAGGGATCGCCCTTTTGCCATGCTGCAGTTGTGTCCTGGCTAGAATTGGCACGTCGAAAGACGCGTTGCGACTCTTCGTCAGATGAAACATGCATGTTGAAATTGTACTTTGTGTGGTGGTGAGCCAGTGAGCTTGCCTTCGGCTTTGACTCAAAGTGGCCTGGGCTCGGAAAGCGGCATGTCTTTTGACATCACAGGACGTTTGTTACAAGGCTGCACACGTTTGGCTGGGAATGGTCCCAGCCAAACCATGTGCGGGACCTTTGCTATCGCTCCCTCTTGTGGGTTAGCTTCTGGGTTAGTTTGTTGTTTAAAGTTGGTGATGGACGATGGGTATGATAGTTGAATTGCATCGGGTTTGCACCACAGCCCTTCATGTAACTTCCTCTTTACAATGCGGTTCCCTAAATTCGGTTTTGAACATGCCTGTCAAGCAACACGCTTTTGGCATTAATTTTGGCTCAAGGGAAAAGAGCGTGCGCTGCCTTGCATCCTGCGTCGCGTGCCTGATGGCCGTTTATCTTCACTTTTACTTGATGTTTTGGTGAGTTCAACTGGTTATCAGCCGTATTGAGCGTCTTCTACCTCATCGCCTTCCTCATATTTCACTTGTATGCCCAGTGGCATTCGTGGCGGGAAGAAGGCACGAGCAAGAGGGGACGCTTTAATTCGGACGCCGGACCCGAAGAAGGCGAAGGTGCGGCACGCTGACGGATCTTCGAGACCTTTGCACACTCGTGCGGGTTGGGTCAGTTCGGAGTCGGAGGCGGAGTTGCGGGCTCAGCTTTTTGAGGAGCCCGAGGAGGAGGATCAGGAGCCGGAGCTGGAGGTCGCTACCGCCGCGAGCGGGGGTGCCTCGGCTGCTTCGGCGCCTGCCCCCCGCACGTTGGTCTGGGAAGTTGACGAGTCCGAGAGCGAGGAGCGTCCGCTGAGCTCTTCGCGAAGCTGTGAAATTGAGGGGGAATATTGGATATCAGGAGCCTTCTGGTGTTCGAGATTTGGTGTCCGGAGCTGAGGGTGTCGTCATCTCCTTCGATTATCATCAGGTTTTGGACATGAATCGTGGGCTCAGGCCGCCGGAGCGCGTTGGATTTTCGGCTGACGACTGCCATCTTCCGTTGAGGAACATTGAAGCAATTGCAGATTTGCGTTTGCGCTATCCTGGCCTCAACGTTGTTGTTTGTTCGTATGTCCCGAAGGTCCGCGGCAGCATTCGCGCAAACAACAACTTTGTCGGAGCAGTGAGGGCACTTTCTCGCGAGCGTCGCTAAACCTCTTTTAGCTTGTAATTACCTCAGAGGTGTGGCCCGGAGGGGAAGCTTCAGGCCTTGACATCTATTTATCCGCGCGCTAGGGTCATCCACTTGGACGACGACAAGGGCGTTCTTGAGGAGATCAACTCCAATCGTTGGTGCACGGCTATTGGAATCAGGGTGCCTCGCAAGCCGCAGTGCCCGAACGTGCAGTATTTTTGGTCTATCACTGATGTATTAATTCAGGTGATCTTGGATCAGCATCACCGAGGAATCATTTTTGGAGACCAGTAACTGCCGAGTGTGTGAAATAGCAGCCTGTGTGCGATTGCCTCCAAGGGCCCATGGCGCCCCCGCTGCCAAACTCAAAGCCGTGCCTACTCCCGCAAAGGATGCTGGCACGGCCTCGACAGCGCCAGCTGTCCCAGCCAAGGCAAAAGGGAAGGGAAAGGGCGAGGGAAAGCTTTCCCCTCAGGGAAAGGCTCAGTGTTTTCTTCAATATGTTAAGCGGGTGCCATGATGGTGAGCAGTGCAAATATTCTCACACTAAAGTTGGCCAGCAGTCTGATCAGCATGGTAAGCATGAACTTAAGGCAAAGCCTAAGGCTAACCCTAAGGCAATCGCTAAAGCCATGCTTGCTTTTGCGTTTGCCGTGCTTGCGTCAGCATCGTCTTTCGCAGGCGTTGGTGGGAATAAGATTCCGTCAATGGGGAGCAGGCACGTGTGCAGGCCGGCGTTTGGCCTCATCGGAACCCCCTTCGAAGCAGGGAATTCCCTATCTCAGCACGTGATCAGTAATGCTAGCGAGCTCGCAACAGGCGCAGGTCCAGCTGACGGTTTTCACACTATGTCCATGACTTGTGATCAATGGGGCACTGTGAACCATTACATGTTGCCAAAATGCCCAATTGTCAGATCAGTTGGACTCGACGTCCAAAATGGAAAGGCTTTCAAGTGGTTACCGGGGATGAGACCATTCTTTGTGGCAGATCCCGATAAATTGACGTTGCGCTGCCCTGAGTCCAATCGCATTTATGCAGATCGTGTCGGTCAAAATGTGCCGATTTTCAAATCAGAGTTCACGTTTACCCACGCGATGTCCGGGGAGGTGGTCGAGAAAGCCCCTCCAGATTCCGATCCGCTGATCGCTGAGTTAGCGCCGGTTCCGGTCCATCCCAAGAGGGCAGAGGCGGCAGAGGCCTGAGCATCGTCTAGCCCATTCTCCGAAGTGTGCGCGCTGTGATGTTTGCAGCCAGGCACGCCTCTATGCAAAACGTGTTCGACGTAACCATGATGAACCCTCAGAGCTGCCAGAGGCAGTTTCTTTTGGTTCTCAACTTGCTGCCGACCATCTCAGTCCACAAGTCATCATCATCGGGCAAGGAGTTTGTCGCACTTGTTGATACATTCACTGGCGTGATTCAAGCTTACCCAGCACCAACCAAAGACTCTGACCATGTGGTGTCCGTGATCTCGGATGGTTGCCCAGCGCGCAATTGCCCCGTAGGTGGCCTCACGATAGTGTTCTTGAGCGGGAGATGCAAAGCTTTTGTCGAAACAATAGGCGCTGCATATCTTGCAGCAGGCTTGGCCGTCAGACCGGAAGTATGGCCTGTGTCATGCAAGTATGCCGCCACTGCACTTTCGATTGCCAAGAAAAATTGGACCAAAATCAAAGGGGAGGATTTCAGCGGTCCAATCCATTCGCTAGGCCAACTTGTGTTTTACCGCCGGAAGGATGTGCCTAAGTTGTCACCCAATGCCAGTCCTGGCTTGTTCGCCGGCGGGCATGTGGAGCATGTGCAGCCCTGAATGAAAGATAGGCATAAAAGTTGGTTTGTTCCGCTGAGTTTTCCTGAGGTTGAGCTACATGTTCCTTCAGAAGCAATCTTCCCACTCAAGGCCGCAGCCTATTGAGCTCTCTATGACTTTCGTGATCCGGAGGTTCCCAAAACTCCAGATGCTCCTTTCGGCATCCTTTTCGCAGGGGACGACTACGTGGCCGCACGGTCCAAGCGCATTTACATCGCATCAACAACGAGATCGGCCCGTGAGAAGGATGTGAGGCATGTAGGTCAGGCACATATGCTCATACTTCGGAGTGCGTGAATCGCTTCAAGGCGGCATTTGTTCATGATGCTAGGCGAGTACTCAAGATCATTGGTACCTTCGCCAACAAGCGGGTCTTTGCCAGCTCGTCAGGCACATCAGGTGGAAAGACAGCCGCAGACTCTGACTTATCATGAGCCTCGGCCTGGAATGATTGATGACTGGCAGATGAGGCATCGCCAAGAGTTAAAACTCTCATGTGCCTGTCATTTTTCCGGTGAGCTAGCAGATAAGGCGCACGATAGCATAAGCGTCTCTTCGCAAGAAGGTGGTCGAACTCCGCTTCGAGTCGCTGCGTTAAAGGCTGCCATATCTTCTTGAGATTGGTTTGCCTATTGAATGCCTCCCTGGGCAGCCTTCATCAATCTGTGGTGGTGCAGAGCACGCCACAAGAGCTGCAGGTCCTAAAGGACCAGGGGGGGAAAGCAATTTTGAGTTCTGTTGCGCACCAGACTGAATCATTGGTGATGTTGGCAGCCTCCGCAACAAAGTTGTCAGATTGTCCAAGGATGTGATGGATTTGATTGCTTAATGCAGTTGATGGAGCAGATCAGTGTTCTTCCTTCGTGTTCTATTCATGGTTCCACTGGAGTGCTCCCCTGGTCAGCTTGGCAACACCTCAACAACACTTGAAGCAGAAGCTCTCCAGACGGATGGTCAAGGACTTGATTCGTGAGTGGCCCAGGTATTGCGCAGGATGGAGCCTTCCTGAGTTGACTGAATAGCAGTTGTACTCTGTTACATTTGACGGCTGCATGCTTGGCTTGGTCCCTGATGGGCGCAACAGTTTGCCCAATCCTGCAAGGAGCGATACCAAGAACTCTCTTCCATGCCACTTCGAAGCGCCAAGACACCTCATCTTGATGACGGCTCGCTAGTAGCAGATGACTTCCTTAACAAAGGGGAACTTCATGCCACAGCAGCTCGCATCATCATGAAATTGCTTTGACTAGCCAGGTTATGCCGACCGGACATTCAAGTCGCGGCTAATGCCTTGGGCTCGCAGGTAGCATGTTGGACAAGAGCTGATTATCGGCAACGTTGCATCCGTGAGTGAAATGTTTCGTGACTCTCAGTTTCAGATTGAGCACATTGCCACTGATCACCAGAAGGGTGATATCCTGACAAAAGCCTTTGGTCCGCCGAAATGGGGACCAGCCTTGGAGATGATCCACATGCACCCTCGGGCTCACCCAGTCCATCACTTGCGTTGCCCAGACTTCTGCCCATTTTTGTGTGCGGGTGTTAGCTGCTTCGGCGCTTCCCCGTACTTCTCATGTCATTGCTGATGCCGGGGTTGAGCGAGTTCTAGTCGCGTCAGCGCTGCCTCGTATCTCTTCCAGCGCTTTGGCTCATAATTAAAATGTGTGTTTTGCAACAACTGTGAAGCATAGCAACAACCGTTTCCTAACGCATGGGAACTTTGGCAGCTTCTGCGCCTGTTCCCCGCATGCCTGTCTTGCCTTTCGCTTCGGCATAGGTATAATACGTGATAGTATCTTGGGTTGATAGCTTCGGCTCCTCAAGGTGCGACCCTTGGACTTCGTGACTTCAATGTTGTCGAGGCTTTCTTTCCACTTGAAAGGATTGTCGTCCAAGCCGTTGCAGCAGCAGATTGAATCACTAATGCGCCTCATCATGAATTCATCATCTAGTTAATTCGGAGGTAGGCATTGTTGGAAGGGTCTACCTCCGCATTATGCAAAGCAAGAGGGGGAGTTGAATTGCATGGGGTTTGCACCACAGCCCTTCAAGTAACTTCCTCTTCACAACAACGCGGTTCCGTAAATTCGTTGTTGAACATGCCTGTCAAGCAACACGCTTTTGGCATTAATTTTGGCATTAATCTTGCATCCTGCGTCGCGTGCCTGATGGCCTTAATCTTGATGCGTTGGTGAGTTCAACTATTATCATTTTTGGCCAGTTGAACAGAGGGCTCGCTCAAAACATTTGTGTTTCTCGAAATGAAGGCCCTCTCCAGGCAACCGGTATGAACCGGTAGTTGGTTGTTTTTCGGCTTTGCCTAAACACTATGCCAGAGCTGGTTCATAATTTTCAGAAAACCGCCATGGCTGACAGGAGTGATCCACCCAGAGATGGTGCCCGGAATGGCCATGGTGCTGGGGATCGACAAGTCCCTTCGATCCCAAATCGATCCGCTTTGGCCATTTGGGACACGAAATAAGTTGGTGGACGCAAAGGAAACTTTAGGAGACGCAGGCCCGTTTGGAAGCAACTTTTCAGTCGGTGTAGGGAGCCCCACTTATGAGGTAATGCGCTTTGCTCCAACGAAGGGACGCTTCCCCGTACTTTTTCCCTTTGTAGGTACGGTGGGGGGGAAGCAGGCCCGACGGTTTTCCTTTCCCAGCTCAGCTGTTGGATTGATGCCGCTGACTTCCTGGATCACGCGTGCCAATAGGGAAGCTCTCTAATTTTGGATTGGCTGAAAATGTCATTTTGCCACCTACGTTGCCATGGAATCTGATGAAGGCCCCTGGAATTCCAGTACGGTCGCTCGAACCCTGCAGGTCCCAAAGAAAAAACATGCCTACTCTCACTCCCATACTATCCCCAAATCATTCAGTGGATAGTTGCCCAAGCAGTGGGTTTGGGCTAGAGAACAGAAGCCAACCCTGACGAGATGCCTTCTCTTCGGTTCGGTTTTCGGTTGAATTGTGCAATTGTCCTGCGGTTTGGTGCTAGTTGTAATGTTCGGTTCGGTTCTGGTTCCGGAGGCCGCCCATAGACTGCATAGACTTCGGGTAGTTTTCCCGTAGTCTTCCCATTTTCTTCCGATAGTCTTGCCGTAGTCTTGGGTAGTCTGTCCGTAAACTTCCGGCAGTCTTCGGGTAGTTTTCCCGTAGTCTTCGGGTCGTTTTTTCATTGTTTTCAGGTAGACTACCCGCAGTCTTCCGAGTTCTTCGGGGTGTTAGGTAGTCTTCCGGCAGTCCTTGCGCAGTCTTCGCGCAGTCTTTCAGTAGCCTTTCGGGTGTGTCCAAGTAGTCTTCTCGCAGTCTTCTCGCAGTCTTCTGGTAGTCTGCTGGGTGCTAAAATGCATTCTCCACGCGCTGCAAAATTGTTTGCTTGTACCTGTCGACCCTCCAGACCGGCATCCAACACAGATTGCTTGAACATCTAGGCTCGAGGTGTTACGATGCCTCTTCCAAGCGCAGCAAAATACATGTTTGTACATGTCGGCCTCCGGTTCGTAACATTTGTTCTGGTTCGGTTTCGGCAGTTCTGGTTCAGTTCGCCGGCGGGCTTCTGAGATAAGTCTCACGTTTGACAATGCTGTGAGGTGCATATAGCGATGAATAAGGCTGCCCCCAAACTCATGCATGAATCAAACCTAAAAGCTGATTGGGGGGTCAGAGTCAGGGTGCGCAAGTACTTCGATAAATGCTGTTCTGTGTTGGTTTAGGCGTATTGTTCATACCCGCTGCAAATTAACATGAACCCCGCAAAAGCTTCTCTAAAAGCGATGGGTTTTGGGGTTCGATGCTAAGCTTCGAAATAGCCCAGAGCTTGTTTAGAATTGGTTTGCTGATTGTTGTGCAATCCGGGTCTGTTCACCCCCACACAGTATCATGCTTTCCGCCCCCTGTTCCTTTGCAGAATGAACATAATGTTGGGATAAGCAGTTTGCCCTGTCTTTTCATTTGTCAGTCGCCATCCGGCATGTTCAGGTTGTTCAGATCAGCAGGCAAGTTGCGTGAATGCCAGTTGAGATTGACTGCAAAGGGGCTTCTCAACGGCGAAGGCCCCAAGTCCCCAATCGAAACCAGCGGCCGAAAGGGCCTAAAGCGAAACCCCAGGTTCATGGGAGAATGCCGGACGCTGACCAACATTTGCGGCAACGCCATTGCCGCAGTGGTAGTGGCCATCCTGGAGGGGGAACTGGACCGTGCCAAATTTGATGCTGCCTTGGCAAACAAAGCATCAGAGACCAGGCTGCATCGAACCGCTTGTGAGCCCGCCTCTTGATGGATGCTTGCCAGTTTGGAGGATGCTGCGGGCAACTCTAGAACAATCTAAGCCCCTGGCCAGATGACAATAGGCCCGCGTGGAGATATGACTGATCAGCTGTTGCATTGCATGCCAGCACGGCACAAAGTTATCCGAGGCACCCACAACATAGCCTTTGTATGCACACCCGCGTTGCATGTTTCTTTTGGTATCCCGAGTGGACTGTATGGGCGGAGGATGCCCGCCTGGCATGGTGCACTTGTGAGTTGATGACTTTGCTTTATTGACTTGTTCTCTTGTATTCAGCCGTCATGCTATTTGCATATAGCTCGTCTCCAAACAGAATATGGAACACCCAAAAAGAATCCTGGGCTTTCTTTCGACTTCCTTTTCAAACATCCCGCAAAGGTATATCAACTCAAAAACAGAACATGGAGCCTGCCTGCAGTTCAGGACGTCAAAGAGCTACAAGAGTCAGACGCCGAAAATCCAAGCCAAGACGCAGCCAGCAGCTCAACGCTAGGAACGAGCTGATTGCATGCCAAAAACCGGACAGACGGTGACAACTGCTGAAATGGCATGCACCTTCCGGAATCAAGTGCACCTTGGGCTTGCACAAGCAAGCCCGATGGCGCATGAGGTGCAGATTGATGGGTCGTCGCATCAAAGCGTTGGCCCTCCAGCAATGTGTTTTGCCAAGTGGCAGGCGATTTGCTGCACCGCGCGTGTATAGAGGAGCATAGGCGTGCGATGCCGTAGTCCAAGCGTTTCAAGAGCAGACGCTTCTACGGACTGGCCGACTGTTGGCCTGCCAATGGGGCAAACTTATGCAAACCTATGTCTTTGTATGCCTTGAGAACAAAGTGTTGCGCGCCCTATCGGGGAGTGATCTTTGCACCGCCCAGAGTGCCAGGAAGTCGAACAACGACCTTCCTACTGCCATGGAACCTGGCAGGGTGTTCCTGCAAGAGAGTGTTGGTCTTCCGTGCACCCTCCCACAGCTGCAAATGTTAGGCCGTGTCCATTTGCTGGAGAGATGCTTGATTAATTCCGACTTGCAGCAGGGTCTACCATTTCACCCCCATCCCTTTTCAGAGAAGAAAGGGCCATAAAGGCGCCTCAAACACTAGGGCGATCCCTTCGTTCAGGGTTCCCGATAATTATTCCCCCGTTGGTAGTTGTTTAACATCACCTTTGAAGCCAACTAGCACTGGGCTTCCTTTTGGTGGGTGAAAAGGAGCAGTTTAGGGACCTTCGTCATGTTCAACCAAAAGCAAAAGGGGATGACTCGTCATAAGGCAAGCACTGACTAGTCCACGGTTCAAGTTGCACAATCCCCCCATGTGGGTATGGGTCAAAACCAAGCCACCAGGGCACCACAGGTTTTAGTCCATGTTTCCATTTGCAAGGGTTCCATTTTGGGGTTGCCCTATTTTTGACCCACAGCCATGTTTCGGTTTCAGGAGTGCCCAACCTTTTGAGCCGCAAGGTCCAGGAGAGCCTTGCGCAGCGTCGGGTGAAGCCAGTCAGCGCCGACCGTCAGTGGATCGAGGACTCGGTGAGTGAGCGCAAGGCGCGGGGCGAAATTGGTTTTGTGGCGAGCTCACGGACGTAGCATGATGATGATTTTACTTGGGGACTACTTATTTGAGCCTTTGGAAGTACTGTCAAATTGCGAGTATTCAATGTTCAGACGCGCTTGAAGTTATGGTGGATCAACGGGCTGGATGTCCCCCAAGAAGTGTCTCTGCATCCCGTGTAAGCGGAACACCTTACCATCAGCACCCCACCCCCCCCGTACCCCTAGATTTGTGTTCAGAACCTGTCGCTGTCGGTGACCTTTAGGAAGGTCCCTCCACACGCATTCCTGGGTGAGGGGCCTCTTGCTTCCTGTTTGATTGCGCCTGTCACACGGTTCTTTGGAATGCTCCTTTGGCTGAATGAATTGTTGGGCTCCTTTCGGAGTGGATGTTTGCTGCGGGTGGCTGTGTCTGAGTTGGTCTTGGGCTGAGTGTAGCTTGCTGTTCTCAATCACTTGGCAAGTTTCGGTCGCATGGCGGTTGCTATTCCCCAAGCCTCATGGTCTAAGGTGCTTGTTGGTTTTGCTTGCCACTGTTTGTTCATCCTCAGGTCGCAGAGTTGTCCATGGTGCTTTGTGTACATGTTGTCCGCAACGCATGTACCAAGGAGCAGGCCGCGTGGGTACAGAACATCCAGAAGAAGCTGGCAGAAGAGAAGCAGCGGCTCGGAGCATGAGATGGAGGTGTGCGAAGACCAAACTTTGCCATGAGTCCAGGAAAACAATCCAATTATTCTGAACCCAAGTCTGAATCTTTCCAGAAAGACACATAGAATGGGGATGAACGCGAAAAGAACCAGAGAAGAACACAAGCTTCTGGCATGATGTATGAGATGTCCGCACAGATGTGCGCCTCAAGCTGCAAATTGTGTTGAAAAGTCGCACAATCAGCACTTGAATATAAGTGTACAGAATATATATATATATATATATATGTGCTGTAGGTAGAGGGAGGGAGGGAGGGAGGGAGGGAGGGAGGGAGAGGGAGGGAGGGAGGGAGGGAGGGAGGGAGGGAGGAGAGAGAGAGAGAGAGAGAGACAGAGTGAGGGGGCCTTATTCCAGAGGGATGTTACGCATTGAACTGATTGGGTCAAAATTGCGAAATACTGTAGGCTGTGTGAGACGGGATGCATGTAGAGGCCATGGTTGCTATGGAATTCAACGGCTTGCACGTCCAAGCCCTGGCTTTAAGCTGCACTGGGGACTCCCTGAGAAGGCAGAACATGTTCAGCACAAACAGGCTCCTCTTGTCCCCACCCCGTAGAAATGGTTGCTTGAGGAGGGGAAGCTTGAACTAGTTTAATTCCAGGAACAGTGGATCTGCTCTGGGGATTGCGCTCAGGAAAGAAGAGGAGGCGAGCTTGGACCGGTTCTACAAGGACGCGCAATGTCAGAGAGCTGCAATGCCCCAGGTAGGGGGCAAGGGTCCTCAGATATTTCCCTGTTGGAGGGTTGAAACAGCACCTTTTGGTTCGAGTGCTTGATACAGGAATTGAACAAGGAACCCTGTTAGAAATGCCCGCGGGGACCGACTGTCAAACAGACGGAGATTTAAAGGCCTTGTCCCCCAAACAAGGTAGGCTGTTTGCTCTACAAAGCCTATATGCAATCACCAAATGAACAGGACGACCCCTGCCAGCCGACTGGCCAGCTTCGTCCCTCACATGTCGTGACCATGCACTAGGCACTTCACATAAATTCCTCTTGCTTACTAGGCCAAGCTTTTTTTCTTGGGCATGAATTGCCAGGCACCAACATGTTCGTAAATGCTAGCTGCGGCAAACATCGCAGAGAAATGTGCCAGCTGGCTCTACCGATTTCAACTGCACGTATGTGCAGAGTCGGCCGGATCCAAAGCCAAACTGAAATTTAGTTATTCGACGAGCTTCTGCAGCCTTCACACTCTCCAAACCCTTGATTTGCACCAACAGAACAGTGAAAGTCATTTATTTGACGCTCGTTGTTGCGGGCGACGAGCTGGCTTTACGATGCTGTGTGGTTGCACGCAGTGTGCCCTTTCTGGGATAGCATGTAGACTATGTAGAGAGGTATATACCAATTTCACACATCTACATGTATATCAATATAGCTCAACTCCAATCAATCGTGCAGACAATGCGGCTGTGGATGGTGAATTCTCAACAGTTGACAGCCGCACATTGTTTAGCCGTGTGGAACAACGTCATGACGTGTGCTCCGAAGGTGCATCAAGCGCCGTTCTTCCGGGACATCACAAGGTACCGTCAAAGACTTAGCCGCATCCCACACACACCCCTCCAAAGGTTAGAGCGGTTAGGGGCTCAACAGGCCAAAGGTCTTAAAGGTTAGGTCACGGGTCTTTGCGGAGTTTTCCCTTGTTTCTGCTGGAGAGGACTTGCGCGGCCGGGCGCAGATCCAGCGGACCCCACTGTCACAGCAGGGCTACCCTTCGCCCCAAACGGGCAGCGAAGAGAGCGACGAGTGGAATGAGTCAGACGGCGGCTTTGACTCCCCCTGAGGCCAGGATGAATCTGATGTTACAGCGGATTTTGTCCGGCTGGAGGGGCAAGCCAGGAGATACCGCAGCAAAAAGGTGATGACTGAAGAACGAGTGCCAACTGCACCATTTTGTGAAAAGAGAATGCTTGTGTGGCAATGCAGCCGAAAGTTTTGTGGATAATCAGTCGGGAACTCAGGCTTCCGGGGGGGGGGGGCTTCTCATCAGGTGCGGGAAGAACGGATTAGTTTTGCTCAGCATGCCGGCAGGAGCTTTCGCAGCATTTGTGGGGCGCTTTGGGCAACCCTGACAGAGCGCCACAATGACAAAGCATGGTACGAAGTGATTTATGTGATTTATTTGGAAATTGCGCCGAATGGGAGTGTCCGAGTTCATATACGCCTCGGCTCCAAATCAACAGAAACTCGGGCCTGTGACAACCCTAGCCAGCAAAAACGTGTGTTGTTTTCTTTGTGCAGGTGGGCGACTGGCTTCCTGTTCAAGCTGGCGGCTCACGAGTAGTTAGAAATGCTCTGGGCATTTGGCAGATTACAAAAGCTACGTGAAAGGCATTGTTTCATTGTTTGACCCGCTTCAGACAGGAAGTTTCACACTGCAGGCATGCTGGCATTCGCGGCGGAAAAGTGCAGCGCATTATGATGTGGTCATAGTGCCGGGGTGCAAACTAACTCTTCATGAATTCGGACATAATGCAGCTCCTACAACTTTGGAATCTTTGGAATTGACGTCCCCCAGCTCGCAAGGTTTCGACAGATCTGTCGTCATATGGTGGATGAAGCCAGGAACAACCACTTGTGCTATCCTGAGCTCATTGTGCTGAGCAAAGCGTGTGACAGGCATCATTGGCGCAGAGAGTCCGAACCTGACCTTCATCTCACGGTCGCACCTTGAGGCACGGGCTCTGCCAAGCTTGATTGGCTCAACCGTGAAATAAGCGATCTTATCGCTCAGAACCTTCCAGAGCTTCTAAGGTTCGGGGGGGGCCCAACGCTTGGCTCGAGGTGAACGAGCTTGGCCCCGCCAGCTTCGCTGTGCTGGGCCCAGCCGGCTTTGCGGGTCCCGCTATTTCCTAAAGTGGTAGTTGTCATAAATCCACCAGGGAATCGCAACCTTGGGCCGTCCTTGATCTTCAGCCCTGCTTTGTTTTGGGTTGATGCGCGCGTCATGTTAGCTCTTTCCAATGTGAATTGAATGCCACGTTGGCACTGGGTGCGCCCTGTTTTAGGAAGACGGGGATCCGCCCGTCTTTAATTTCTACCCCAGTTTCATGCGACGCATGAGACGCATGACACACAGACACACACTGCTTTCGCCGCCTGCGCGCGCCGTTGCTGGCTCGACAGTTCGAGCTGCGGAATTGCAAATGCAAGGCACTTCAGCATGTGACTGAGCTGCTCTTTCGAGCTCTCCTGTTCGGCCTTTCGTCCTTGCGTTTGCCAGACAGGGTTCCTCATGCGCCCCCTCTCGGTCAGCATCCCTCCCAAGGAACTGGATGATGATTTGCCCAAAAGGTCGCGGTTGCAGCAACCCTTGCCAGAGCCACAGCCTTGTTACTCGGCAAGCGTCAGACATGTTGAGCCTGGAAATGGAACCCAACTAACAAAGCCATGCGCTCCCATGGTGCTGGCGTTCCGGAACCCAGGCCCTTGTTGCACACAGTTGCAATCCCGTGGTGGACAATTGCTGGGCTAATACATGTCAGAAGAACTGTGCAAGTCTTTATCCTGTACTGGGATGCTGTAGGGGTGGGACATGGTAGGACAGTGACCACGGATTGCATGTGGACCCGAAGGATGTGACAAATCACCGTTTCGGGTCAAAGTAAGCCATCCCCATGACACCAATCAATCATATGATGAGATTCGCTCAGATAAATTACCGCTTGCATTTGAAGCTGCGTATTGCAGGACTAGCATGCGCCTGTCTTGCCCGGAGCTGAGTTCTTGTGAACTGCTCCAACAAGCAAGACTTGGCTACGCCAGCCCAACCACAAGCTTCGGGCCATAGCGTCAGGGGCATATGGTGTAGTATGGGTTCAACCCCCAATGTGTCCATCCTCGTTCCACACTTGATACAGTACTGTTCTCGGCTTACCGCAGTTCAGAGGTGGATCAATCGTATGTACGTCTCATTCCGGAAGTTACACTATCGGTGGCATTTGTTGTACGGCGGGGTTCCTCTCAGAAAAAAACGTTCCCATTATTTGCCACGCACATCCCGTGCACAAACAACCCAGATGGCGTGGATTGGCTAGAGACACACAAGTTCAGGAGCGTGCAAGATTCAGCCCGCGCGTGCCCAGATCCTTGCTTTCATGCTCCCATGGTCAATTCCCTACATACTACATCATACTGCAAGTGAAACAGCCGCATCTCAACAACTGGCAAGTTCCCGTAGACTGCAGGGTTTCCCGTTTTGCAAAACGGGCTGGCCAAACTAGCGCTTTTCAACTTCCGGGTGATTCCGGGCCAATGAAATCGGAGACCGTAGGGTTGGTTTGCAATCTCGGGCCAGGAGGGTTGCCCGTCCGCCCGTGAGGCACACCTGGTGGTCGGCAGGGAGGAGGATCCATTTGCAGAGCAGAAAGACGGAGATAATTGCTCGGCTTGAGGAGTTTGCTTTAAATATGGATGCTCATTAGATAAATCATGGCTTCGGGCAAGCCAAGCAGCGAGTCGATATTTGCACTCCTTCCCCGAAGCTAAGCGCGGGCTCAATGCTGGCGCTGCAGTCAGGGCCCATGTAGATGTTTCCGTGCTTTTGGCCTGGCTAGAGGCTTGGATGCAATTTCAGCTTGAGATGGACATCTAGGCCAGGCTATGGGAAAAGGACCTTGCGGAAAGGGGCGGTTGCGAGTAGACGAGGGGGCAAAGTTGCAAAGTTGCCCCGGAGGGAGTGATGATGCGACTTTTTGTTTGAGCCTGGAGTTGCAGCCTGTCTTCAGGTTTTCCTCCGGCATGAACACTGGCAACCAGGGCTCCACTTCTTGACTATTTCAGGGTAGACTTAAACCCAGGGGTGGTTCATTGCCCCCAAAGGAGAACTACTGGGTTTAAGTCCATCTTGGGGTAGTCAAAAAGTGGAACCCTGCTGGCAACAGTTTGGAAGATTGGCAACGGGTTTGGCCAAGGCTTGGGCATGCCGCGCACCAGCTTCTACATCGATTGCACTCCGGGGTCCATGGGCCACCGAGCTGAAATGGCCAGTTCTGAGGCTCGAAAGCCTCAAGCCCAAATCCAAACGTCTGATTATTTTGAGGGAAGGTTGAAGTGTTTGGTTCCCAGCAATTTGGAGGAGAGAGCCTTATGTATTCCCCTCCAGTTTCCCTCGTTTTCTTGATCCGTGTGGCTGCTTGATCCGCGCGCTTGGCGCGGTTTGCCAAGGCTTCCCTCAGTACGAGGAGGGGGTGCCCAGTTGGGCGCCACCTGTCAAATGCCCGCTTAGCGACAAGCCCAGCATGGCGGACGGGGGCGCTGCCAAGAACTGCCGGCCCCATGAGGAGGCGGGAAGTGGGAAGGGTCTTCGAGCGCGGAGCCTCAACCCCCAGTACCAAAACGGTGTCCTGCTGTTGGTCTATGACCAGATATGTGAGCCGAAACCAAGACTATAGGGACCCTGCGACATATCCAAAGCGGTGTTGCGTTCTTTGGGTCATGATCACCTAAGTGAGTCAGAACTAAGACTAGGCACCCTGCACGTCGTTTCCGTTTGGATCCTTTGTCAGCTGGGTTCCACACATTGTCCTGAAAGGATGGCTTTAAACGTGAAACGACAAATTTTGAAAAGACGCATGAGCAGTTGGCTTCCATTTGGAAATTTGGGGGACGGCTCCTTGAGCTGCGGTGGATGGTGAAGCACCACAGTGCCACAGTCAGTAGCGGCGTAGCCGCGTTGGAGGGGTGTGTCTTAAACAGGGGCTTAGAATGCTGCTCAGTTTCCTGTTGGTGCCCGTTGAATCATTGAAAGGCGTTAACCATTTTGAGACACACCCAAGCAGGGTGTTCAATGCAAACCTGCCCTTGGGTTTGGCTGTCATGTCCTCTATGTTTTGGAATCGGAGGTGGCCACTGCAATTGCACTTGGAATTATTCTTGCAATATGCTTCTGCGTATTCGTGTAGCCTACTGGGAAGCAGTTGCCATCCGTGACTCGTTGCCAGGTTAGGTTCGCCAAACCCACCATGCCCCTTCAACAGGCAAAGAGATAAAGGCAAATGAGCCACAAGCAAGGCTCAACTTTCAGATTTTCTGTGGGTTTGGTTTGGTTTGGGCCCTGGGGAAATCATAGAAAGGTCATCGCCTCTTGTGGAAGAGTCTGAGAGGAGTGTCGACGGATCCACCTGGCGCTGCAGAGCAAGTCCCTGCAGTCCAGCCTCTACCTTTGTCCCTTTCAGGCGTTTCGGTTCAGCGTTGGGTCGGTGTCATGTCCTGTTTGATCGGTGTCATTGGGTTTTTGGCAAACCAACCCGTGCACGGGCAGTTTTGGAGACTAACACCGTAGTGGTTTTTTTTTGTCCCCTGCGGGGCTAAACTGGACGTCATTGACCATTTGAACTGAAAGCATGTGATGTGTCATGGCCATAGGAGATGGTGTTCATCCATTACAATGATGGCGACGCGTGGGAGAGATGCTGCATCCAAGAGGACATCTTCAACGGAAAGCTCAGCGCCAAGTGCGAGGCACGAGACCGTTTGGCGCTCAAAACCTTGCGAAACCCTCAATTGAAATTTGTCCATGCCTTTGGTTACCTGGGGGCAACCGCCCTAAGGACGCTTTTGCTTTTGAAGCCGACATGTTCTGGAGTACGTCTCTCGGTCATATGTTTTGCGGCATGCTCTCATTGCCGGCTGCGGCACAACCCAGCTGAAATGAAATACAAGGTTGCTTGGACTGGGCTCATTTACTGTTTGGGACCTTGTTCACGGAAAGCTGCCAAGTAAGTTTCCAGAGCAACTCAACGAATAGCTCTTTGGTTCAGTTAGTGGGTGTCTCCGATTTGTGTGGTCTTTTCCGGGGGGGGGGGGGGTTACCCTTGGCCTCAAAGAACGCTCAAAAAGGTGCTTCTATGTGGCGCTGTGTTTCTTTGAGTATCCTTTTTGGACAAAAAACATGGACCAAAAAAGAGGCAATTTCTCGGTGTCTTGCAATTGTTCTTGGTGGTCAAATCACTGGGGTCACTGCCTCTTTGGCCATTTGGGAGGCGCTCTACGAGAAGCCGCAGCCGGTCATGGAGCCGCCCTCCCCGCCTGACCCTGTGCCGGTCACCAAGACGGAGAAGATCATGGCGGTGGTGAAGCTGGTGGCCAGGCCCCGGAAAAACGGCGTTTTCGTTTTTGTCACAAGGAGCTTTCAAAAGGGTTGGATCACAGGAAAATGGGTTGGGTTTCTGGAAAATCTTGCAGCAAATGGCCCCAACACACCGTAACAAAAGAGCTGTTTTCCTGTAGATTTTCGTATAACCCAATGCTTCGAAGAATCAAAGCCCAGGTAATTGAAGGTCAGTAAGAAAAAGTCCCAACCCGAAGGTGAGCCTTGTAGTTCTTTGCATTGGTTATGGGCCATTTTCATACCAGGCGTTGATTGCGACTCAAATTTAAATGGGTTCGCAACGTGGAAATCGGAACACTCCGCAGGTTTCCTATTGGTTTCCAAACTTTAACCCAGGCGAACTTCCCAAGAGGGACACACCCAAATAGCAAATATGGGGGGCGCGCAGAATGGTGGTTTCGCCTTGGCTCAGCTTTATTCCAAGGCGAAAACCATCTGACTCTCCAGGCTCTGACCCACTGCGTTTTCAGTTTGCGATGCCTCAAGGAGGGGGCCTTCGATCCGGGCCCTGAGGAATCGGAGAGGTGTCCCTGAGCAGTCCATGTGCTCGCCTCACAAGTAGCCTACAAGTTCAGCGCATAGCTTGGCGCTTGTGATACCAAGGGGATGAAGTGACAAAGTGATCATAGGGTGCCTTGGTATGTGCAACTTTCAACTAGCTTCCTGGACAGGCAAAACCTGGGGTTGATAACATGAACTCTAGCTGCCCACTAGGCGAGATAGTTCCATTTTCGTTTTGGGTTCATTATATCCTACTGTGTTCCTTCAATAAAAGCACCCTCAAGCCACAAAAGGTGTTGTGCAAGCGGGAAGAAGCAGGAGACCTGACCTTCTTGGCCTCTTTGTTTGATTTAACGAGGTGCACAACACATCATTTCGAGGCCCCCCTGCCTCTCTTTTGAATCTAGAGCCAGTAGGTCTGAAGGGGCTCGCACAAACAGATTGGAGTGGGAAGCTAAGAGTCCCCGTCGCTGTCGTTGAAGGCGCGGTTTTGTGGGCCAGCAACAAGCGCAGGAAGGGAGTGGGCTCAATGACTAATAGCCAAGTTTGTTTTTGGACCCCAGTATCTGAAATTTGCAACTCGAAACTGCCTCTCAAACCTCAACTTCAACCCCAGACGATATGCGTTTGTGTGTGTTGCTGCTAGGTGCTCATTGTTTCTGTAAACGTCAATGGTTTGCCTGGCACGGCCAGCCATGCCCAGTGTGAGCCACGCTTTTGCCCTCCTTCCGCACCATGACGCGCCAGGATATCGAAAGAAATAGCCAAAGCGCCTGGGCTACATGGGGAGCTGGTTTCGTTTTGCATGCGACGAGGGAAGCGCTAAAGCTGGAAGTGGTGCAAAGGTCGGAATCTGCGGCATAGCATTGAAAGGGACTTCACAATCGCTATGCAGGCGGCCGCAGTCTCCTGCATACTGTTTGCTCCTGCGGGGTTCCTGATAGATAAGGAAAACAAATAAAGAATCAACCAAGCCAAGAAGCTATCAAGCAAACAGACATACAGAGACAGACAGCGACGGACAGACCAGACCAGACCAGACCAGACCAGACCAGACCAGACCAGACCAGACCAGACCAGACCAGACCAGACCAGACCAGACCAGACCAGACCAGACCAGACCAGACCAGACCAGACCAGACCAGACCAGACCAGACCAGACCAGACCAGACCAGACCAGACCAGACCAGACCAGACCAGACCAGACAGACCAGCACGAGATGTGCATGTATAGTCGTACAATGTCGCAGATAGATATACAATTATATATATATATATATGTATACGTGCGCCGCATTCGTTTTCTCCCCGGCAGCTCACCACACCAAATCAACTTGTGCATCAAAGCGAATTGAGCAGGGCTGCAACTCAGACGACGCACAGACACCCGCACACACACACACACAGGGGTGCGTTTGCGTTTGTGCGCAGAGGTACGGTCATTTGAGCAAGGCTGAATGTCAGCGAGAGTTTTGGGTGTTCTTCTCGCCCAAGGAATTGGCTGCCCGTATGGGCTTCTATGGCTGCGGGAAAGGTTGCAAGCCAGACGGCATTGTAGACCCGCCACCCGTGTGCCACTGAGCTGCACCGGCTTGGAAGTATCCAAGCGCCATTCTATCCGGGGAGGTTCTGCAACTGAGGCTTAAGCACACCCCGGCGGAAGAGCACGTGTGTCTATATGGGCAGGCCAGACTTTCGCAATCTTGCGGCGACAGCTGGGTTTTGTCAAAATAGGC